AACAATCACTATACACTATTCAAAACCAATATTTATATTTATTTATTTAAACATATAAACATAGGCACAAGGAGGCGCCAAACAGATATGCGCACTGCACGGGTGCCCAAACCTAAGCAGGTGGTTTTCTTAGAGGGCTACACCCCAAGCCTTCGACCTAATGGTCTGATCCACAAGGCAGTGGAGTAACGTCAGGAGAGGCAGTTCCAAGTTAGCTGATGACCAACAATAGGTTCATACGTTATGTTTTTCCTTAGGATTTTGAAGCCCATATCCACCACCACTTTGGTACCAGGATTTTCCAACTCAGGAGGAGAGTTGGTTCTCCCCACTCTTAGTCGTACCAGGGCATTCAAAACCAACGATTACTATTAATTGTAAAATGTAATCCATAAGTGACTGGTCATTGTCACCATGTAACATTAACAATAAAATGAGAACAAATTACATGATTATATAATAAGACTAGAATTTATTATTAATATTTCAGTGAATGTAGTAATTCCATGCTATTTACAGTAAATATTCATATTTCACCTAATTAATGTGGAACTATCACATATCATAATATAATCCGAATGAATATACAAATAGGTAAGAATTGATGTTACACAACTACAAATAATTTGAAGGATAGTTTAGTATTTAAATTTCTAATTCATTAAACTATAATCAACACAGGACCTAACATAAATCACAGTCAACCGAAATCTTCATATTAAAACACCACAATGAGATAAAACTAACAAGATAACTAGTAAATAAGTTAAACAGTAGCATAAATGATAGTGAGAAAGACTAAGCATTCAGAATATGACATGAAAAGACGGAATAGGATAGTGCATATGAAAGATAACTGAGACTAAAAAAACTAGAGTTATATAAAGTGAATGTATCTACGCCATCGTAACCCTTTCTCACACATGTCACTCAAGATCTCCGACTATGGATTGAGTTTATTGAGCGGACGATAACCGAATAACCTGTATCTACCAGAAAAAATCAGTTCAATAGTCAAAAATTTCATTGACTGATGATATCTTTCTATAACCCCTCTAGCTTCCTTTTAATCTACTAATACATCAACCAAGAATAAGAGTTAAGATACGGGGTGTTTTGGTATACATGAAACATTTCACTGCTTCATTAACCGATTTGCCATCTTTAATTAGTGTCTTATGCTTAACTCTACGACTGCATTTTAGTAGTGAAAATGAGATACAATGAAGTTGTTTACAACAGCAAATAACAGTTATGAAACGCTATCTTTAAAAATAGAAAATATTGATAGATTACCAGTATTTATTAATAAGTGACTTAAGAGTATCTCTCACGTATGTTGGGATCATCGAATGAGTAATGTTGAAATGACGCAAAACTAGTTAATAAGGTAGTGGGTCTTCATAGACTGAGATGGTTGAGGCACGTATTACGTGTGTCCAACTGCAACCAGTCTCAACACACGAAGTTGGCTGATGTAGAAATAAGTTAGAAGGAAGCTCGGAGTGCAGCACCCATCCATGAAATCATTGACTATCGGGTCGATCCATGCTGGCAGGTATAACCTACCTAAGTTAGAGTTCGTGAGATTCAATGGTTGGAGATGTTGAGTGACATGTCTCAGAATCATTTGCGATAGCTAAGATGCGTTAACTCCTTGTCTTCTTTTAGATTTCGAGTTTTAAAATCATTTTATGCTTTTTATTTTGAGAATTCATTCGTTCGAAGAATATTCTTTTCAATAATTTCTCATCAGATATTCTACAATTATCTCATATCCAAATTAATAATCCATAAAATTGGCCAGATTTAAGGCAGAGAGTACATCATTTGGAAATTGTAATGTGAATTGAGAATTGTTGTTTGTTATATAAAATCAATTCAGATCGTTAATGTTGAAGCTGACTAATATGAAGTTGTCAGATATAGTAGATTTAGGGGCGAATACTGAATAAATTCCTCAAAAACGTTATTAAGTGTAATGATGATAATAATAGCAATGATAAAGATGATAATGACAATGGTAAAGATAATAATAATAGGTTTGGGACATAAAATGAACATTAATCAGATTACGTCACCATATTATAAATTAATTATTAACTAGTTGGCCCCAAAGTTGGTCAGGGTAAAAAGAGTGACTGAACATACATTTTTTGGATGCAAAACTCTAGCTTTTTGATCGGAATAGTAATTGCTTCAGCCTTCTGTAGGATTCGCAGTCTGACGGAATTAGGTAGACTGCTGTTAATACGATAGATTATTGCAAAAGATTGCCCCACGTTGGCTATATGTCCTGTTTGAACTAGATGGTCTAAGATGGAGCTGTTAACAGTTTTGACTACATCTTTGCTTAACCAAACGGAGAGGTGCTCACGAGCTAGAATGTACAGATTCCGAGATCATCTGCCAATATAACTTGCTCCATAGGAGCAGTTGAATGGATAAATACAGAAGGAGGTGGCTAGTCTAGGTAATTTATCTTTCAACCTTGGAGTAATTATTGGTCGTGTGGAGAACATTAGTTGTAGTTTACTCTTTGGGAATCGTATTTCCGTGTGTTGTCTTTTCTATTCCTATTTATATTCATATTGCTTCTGTCATATGTCTAGATAATTTCATTTATCTGTACTGATAAATACACATGAGTCAGATCCTATGTTACCTATGACTGTCTGATTGGATGCATGTAACTAGTAAACTACTAGTTAATTAGTTCTAACCAGTTACAATTTTCATAAAAACAGTAGTCCTTTTTTCCCCTCTTAGTTAATTCAGTTATCTGGATTTGAATTATTTTACATAATTTATCATATTACTTCAATCTTTTTCTTTTCAATTACCATAGCGATTAAGACTAAACAAGTAACATTAAATTAAATTTATTAAAATATATACAGAACGTACTTTGTGGACGGCGTGTGTGTGGAGAGCACTTCTTTACTAAATCTATCATCTTCACACTTTCGATCACATGGAAAAAATACACCCCCCGATAAATTATTTTTTACAGCCTAATGATACATTTTATTTAACTTAGCACACAAATACACATTGAAAAGTGTATTACTAAAATTAGTACATGAGAAATAATTCAAAACAAGGACATAAACTTATACTATAATGATCCTTCTTTTCTTGTTACACAATTTTACAAAAAGAAAATACATTATCATTCAAAAGAGTTGGAATAGTATGAAACTAAGCACATGTAATATAATCCGAAAGGTACACAAAATACCGAAGAATGTCAGTTAGTAATATACAACATAAAACCTGGCATATCTGTATGTCCGCTTAAATTGCCACACCTCATTAGTAAAATGAGATGAAATTCTTAAACTAAATTCCAAAAAAGTACAGATAGTAACAGTATTAGCGGTGGAGAAAAGGTTAGACATCGAAGATACGATTTGTATCCAAAAGCCCTGGGACGATCGAGAGTAGGAAAAGTTCGCTGTCCCACTCCAAATGCTCTCACATGACCACGCCTATACAGTAACCGTCAGGAAGTCCTACCCACTGCCTCCTCGCGGCATTACTGTTGTTTACGAAATTGAATGGACGAAAAGTGAATATCCAACACTCTAACTCGGTTGGTGGACACAGAGGGTCCACCTAGGGGAATTAGAAAACCCTGGTTGCAAATCAGTGGTGGATATGAGCCCCAAGATCCTAAGGAAACAAATGACGTATGAACCTATTGTCGGTCACCGGCTACTATGGGACCGCATCTCCTAACGCTGCTTCACTGCCTTGTGGATCAGATCTTTAGATCAAAGGCCCCCTAAGAAAACCACCTGCTTAGGTTTGGGTACCCGGACAGTATGATAGCCCACACACAAATCAAGTGACTTGTGTGTCGCATAAGTATTCGGTGCCCCTTTGTACCAATACTTGTGTTTAAATAAATAAATACGATTTGAGATGATGCTAAGTTCAAGCATTAGGGGAAGATAAAGAATTAATCCACTTATCGTCTCACATAAAGTTCTCTAACCATGAATCAACTATGTGACGAAGACTTTGATCAGGAAGTCTGAATAACCAGAAATATTCGATGACTTCATGGATTACGCCCATATCCTACATTTAGCAATTTCTAGCTCTTTCTCAGTCTATTCTCCCATGGTGTGCAGCATATCACAAGATATAGATAATGATCATGTATACATTACTTATGTCCCAACTAAACCATTCGGTGGAAGATTATAGCTAGATGAATTCAATTGTAAAATCTAATTAGGGCTTTACATTTAATCTGACCATCATTTCTTTGATAACTTCAAACAAATACTTTTAAAATTTTATAATCAAAAACTTGCAACCTATGCTCATTATTTGTTTAATTCAAATTTTTTTACAGACAACCATAATCCTACATTTCAATGGTAAAACAAACTAATAACCGTATCGACCAGTTTATCAACCGACTGAACATTTAGCCTGTACATAAATGAGTCTGTAATTTTGCTTAGTTTAATAAACAGATATAATGGTTGCGATATCATACCATGTAAAATATTAGAGTAACTCGCATATTTCTTACAAACACGAATGGTGTGCTTTTTTAAACAATATTGGTTACGAACAAGAATTTACATACTTGGTACAGACAATTACCTAGGTATTGCAGAGGCTGAAATACACGAGTGAAATTAAAAAATGGAGTGATAATAATTAAAGGAACATAAATCATCGTATTTGTGTCCCTGTCACTGATTCGGAACCGTGCCACTTTAAGTCTCCAACCAAGGACTCTGGTTATCTTAACGATCCTCACTACGCATTCTATACTTGCTTAGATGGTGGACATCAACAAAGCCAACGAATTTGTAGGTTGATTTTTTGTTTGAATACTAACTGTGAAGTCCACCATTCTGGACCCAGTTCAAATTGTTATTCGAACAATTTAACCTCATAAAACATAATGAAATAGAACTTAAAACAATTCAGTTCACTAGAAATTGAAACGAAAACAACTCAAGCACTACACTAACCTGGATTCTTGTAGTATTGTTGGTATTATTGTTTTGTGACAATTTTTCTTGAAAATTTCGAACAACTTTAGCAGCTGTTTCAGCTGCCTCCTTCATTTTTAAAGCAAATTCTGTTAAACTTAACTGAAAACTCCAATCAGATGAATGCTCATATGAACAAAACTGTAGTTGATTAAAATCACAACCATAATTTATAGAATTATTAGAAATAATTTCAATTAAGTGATCTTCTGGAGAAATGATATTTTGCCTAGGCAATAAACTCTTAACAGAATTTGTAGGATAAGATAAATTAGTAGAAGATACTAGTAAAATGAAGATTAACGATAATGATGATAATTTAAGTAAATGCACATAAATTTGTAAAATGATCATATTGTTTAATGTAATAGGTGCTAATAATTAATTGATAACAGTCACATATGAAGTGATTGATAATACAAATGAGTGAAATGTTGAATACATATTACATTGAAAATTTTATTCACCATCTTTATGCGGTTGTAATGAAATGTTAAATCTGACTGATTTATCTAGAGCATATTCAATAAGTTGGAATTACTAAAATAAAGAAAAAGGATTTATTCATAAGATGTTGATTAAGTTATCCAACATGAAGAAATTACTGGTTAATAGTTCCGGATAAGTTGTTTTCATTTGAAAATATCATACGGATATCACATCAAATCATTGTTTATACTATGAACTAAGCTGCTGATTTAAGTAGTAAGACCAAAAAACATCTAATTGTGCTTCATGGATGTTTGGTGCAGGTATAAGGTTTAACATCGCACATCATAAACTGGAAAAAGCGTGAGAACTCGCGAAATAAACATGATAGAATTCAAGTATTACTGTTAAACTTTGTAGTCACGCTTCGGGGCTAACAAAATTAACAACAGTAATTCAAGTTTAACTGAAGCCTGAGTTTGAGAATTTAGCTAAAACCTGTGCCAAGACTTATTGCCTAAATACTTACGGATTATATTAAAAGAGGTACGCTTGTCAGGGTACAACATAAAGATGGAAGCCTCAAAGATGCATTTGAGAAAGAACTCAGTGGACACAGAGGAATAGGTACACAATTTTTATCTAGATATCGTTTAGTATTGCACTTTAGTCTGTGGTCTTTGACTATGATCCATGTTTGTTAAAATCACGTTAGTGAATTTTAAGCAGCCACAGACCAGTAGCTGCTAATTATAAAGTGTTTGAACAAACTGGTTGTTTTCCTGATCAACAATAAAAAACAACCCTTGGTATACAATGGGCTTAGGCGACGAATACAAAAATAATCCTGGCCCATTTTAAGGCACTGTCACAAAATAAACTTGATAGCTAAAACTGAATGCATTACTCGACCTCGATATTCCTTCAATAATGACAATACCTAAAGAAAATACTTGAACTACTAAGAAACCGCTTTTCAGACAAGGCTCAAATGAAATATGAGTACGTTGAGCATACAGAGACTCATATTATCACAATACAAAATGACAGCTTCGGGCATTTGTGGCAGGCTCCATATTGATTAGTTCTGCCAGTATGTCACCAAATAGAACCTGACACATGTCAGTTGACTAAAATTACCATACCACCCGCCTCCCTATTATGAACAAGCTTTCGTACGTTTTGAAGAAGCCAATGTAGAAAATTTGGTAGAAATGGCACAAAAAACTCCAAAATTTCCGCAAATGTACATTAGTACGACCAGATAATAATAGCAGAGATCGAATAAACGTAATATCAATGTAGCATATTACGGGTACATCGATCTCAATTTGTCCTTGACGACTAAAAGGCATTTCAACAACTGGGAAATTTACAAGGTGATAAATGAAAACCAGAGGGTTTTCTGGTAGTCTACTAGTAGTTATCCTTTGAGTGAAAAAATGACCAACAAGAATAATTGAAAAGAATGACAAAAAGCTAACCGAGACAAAAAAATTGCCGTTTTGAACAGTAAATTATTTTCAAAAGTGAGGAAAGTATGAAAAATAAAAAGCGAAATCTCGGGAACCAAAACAAGAAAAACTGACCTCTTCAAGGACATCAAACAATTCGACCGCGACATTTTTGTTATAGAACATAAAAATAATTAGAAAAGGCTACTACGAGTTTAATATATTGCTTTCTAAATTCGAAAACTCTGCGAAACCCAGAAAAACAATAGTAAACCAACAACTTGAATACTAAACATCATTTGATAATGACTGTCATTTCAACCAAAAGAGTAAATTACAAAATTCAACACCATCACGAGCTTCTATGAATTGGTTCGTTTATCTGTGAAAGATACTTGTTATCAGTAAGTTCAAAGTAGACACTAGTCTTTCTAAATAAGCCTGTTAAGCTAATATCCGTATTCTCTATTTCAGTTAATCGATGACGACATGTAACACGTGCATTTGCTGTATACTGCCATATTACTCTAATTCTAACTGTTATATCTTAGTTCTGAAAAATAAAATTGCTATATGCAGCAAATACAGACTTATTTGTTTTAATGGAGATAGGGGGGTTCATGGGATTTTTAGCAGGACTGTAGTAATATTCTCACTAAAGAGCTAAGCGAGTGTGTAGACCAATGTAAGGTACCATACAGGGTGCCTTTGAGTCACTCATGTTCCATTAGTGCGGTAGGGTCATGGCTTGCTTATCATATGGCATTTGAATAAGGAGCTATAAGATTAGACGCAGATACGTTTAGGATGTGTAACGCGTGTCCATCCATCAGCTGCCGTGACAACTCATGGTCTTTAGAATAAGTTATGAAAAGACTCGAGTCTGTAGGTTTCATAAGAAAATGACGAAAATATGTACTACATAACTTAAATTTACTTCATATGAACTAGATGCTGAGAGGCTCGTATATCACAAGTTCCTTGCAACGATTAAGTAGATAAAACAAATTAGCATTAGATTCAAAAATTTATTCGAGAACTTTCATTAAGAATCGAATATGAAACAAAGGTTTAAACTAAGTTCCAGTCTGAAAATTGCATTTGTAATGTTAAGCTGCAGTTTTTGTTTTTTCCATACGAAAGGGTAAAAGAAGTAAATCAAAAAGTACTGGGAGTGGTTGTGAGATTAAAATGGACATCCAGCATCCTTTTTATAATCTGCTGTTAGTTGGGTCTCCCGTAAAGAGATCCAAAGGGCCATAGTTCTAAGGGCGAAACAGTTCTTAGGATCTGTGAAGGCCCAGTCCTGTTGCATTCTAAATGAGAAAATAGTAATGAATTTAGTCAGAAATGTGGAATAGATAAATAACCAAATTACATGTTTTTTAGCAAAGAATTTATGCAGTTTTGATTTACCTTCAGTTCATAAACATTAGATCAGGTCAGCTACGATTACTTGTGCAAAGCGTAACATGGACTTATTACCGTATCGCAATGCTTTTATTATTTTGCTCTCATTTAAGTATTCCCATGCATCTGCGTCCAGTTTAACAGGAAGACATACAAACAGAGTTAGTGTCTGATAAACTAAAAGTCCCAGTTGTCAAAAAGATTCTTAACATTTGTCCACAGCCAGCTGCATTTAACTGTGACACAGAACACTCATCTTCTAAGACTGTATACTGCTCTTCTGCAGGCAAATAAAAGCTCAGACACTTAGCTATCCTGCTACCTATGTTATTGCTGGAGAAATTGTTTGATGACAGTGGTCTTGGAACATGAACAATGTTAGACGTACTGTCTACAAATAAACACCAAACGTACTTAAAGCTATCTTGTAATATATGAGAGCAACAGCATCAAAGGCACGTTTTTTCCTATTTTTAATCAGACTGATTTGAATCAGTATACTCACTAAAAACAGGCAGCTCTACTCACTAACCTGATCCGTTTCGTTACAGGCTTTAAGCACTATACTTAAGTATACTATAATTCTATCGACTTATCTAAATTATAACGACAACCAAGAATACTAAACTAACCAGGTGTCATAATGATTGTTCCATTTGCACAGACATGTTGCTAAACAGAGTAAAATGAACATGATTCAGTCGATAAAACCAAAACACGAAATCAAAGCCATTTGAACTTACCTAAAAGAAGGCGAAGGATACATATATATTGCTTTGAGACTGAAAACAACAGTCAGTTGTTCATAAAGACATAGTCTACAGTACATCAAACATTTCTTCAGTAACATCATGCACTGACGGTGTATCTGGAAACAATAAACTATGTGAATAAACTAACTATGACTTGAGATATCATTCCAGAATGCAATGAACGCACAGTGTAACGCAGTCAAACGTGGCGAATAAAAATTAAAAACAGAGCAGAATAAACAGCATAATCTAGTTATTTTATTAAAAACACATTATGAAATGACAAAATCTGTGGTTGCTTGAACGCACAGATGCCCCCGGGCGATACTTTCAGTTTACATGGTTGCGTTGCGGATAAATTCACCATTTTCGATAAGCAGCGGTTTAAATCGTGGGACTGATCGGCTGGCGAGCGATTGTAGGACGGAAGAATCGGCGGAACAGAAAATCGATCGTTGATCATCTAGTTGCCAACGAAAGTCTTGTTCGGAGAACGGTACCAGGAGCTGTGTGCTGTATTCGTTGCTTGAGTCGGCCCACTACACCACAGTGGTTTGTATCCAAAATCTGAAGATTGCATTCGTAGGGATGCGGAACAGAAACGCTGCAGACGTAGGACGAAACCACGTCGAGTCGAGGAACCAGAAGCGACCATAACGACCAAGTTCGAGACCAAGCGTCTGTCAAGCATTTGAAACCAAAATATCGACTAAGTGAGTTGACTAGAGCGTGGGTAGCCAGTCCAGCTTTCGCCAAAGTTAACTGAAGTCGACCGTGCCAGACGGGTATTGTCGGAGGCGTGGGCTCAGGATACAGAAAAGAAATCAAAAAAGGAGAGTTTAGCATGCATGTATTACGGGAATAATCCTACACGGTATCGGTTGTTAACTGTACGGCTGGTCGCGAAAGCGTACGGGCAACCGTACTTGGCGACCGGATGACGCGTGCTGTTGACTGGGACATGAGAATGAGGTCCCAGGTGTATCTAGCGTGGGACCTGAAGATGGTTTGAGGATCCCGCTAGTAGGTTTGATAGGTCTAGCATTGAATCTCAACCTATCAGATAGGGCACTGTCATCGACGTGTGCTGGTTTGAGACGATCGATGCTGACGATCTCGACGCGGCCATGTTGATCAACCTTGAAGGTCTTTTCGTGACAGCAAATCAGCTTGAAAGGGACTTCGTAAGGCTGTTCCAAATGTTTGCGTACCGAATCTACTCGTATGAAAACATGTGAACAGATATATAACTCTCGAGGGAGAGCAACCTGTCGATGTTGTATTCGAGTTGACACCGAAAGCAGCGTTTGCATAAATGTAGACAGTCGTTGGACGTAGTCTGGTTAACCGAAGTCAGGTCTGCTCCGCTGTATGAAGTATTCCCCAGGTAGACGCAATGTCGTGCCGTATACGAGTTCAGCGATGGGACATTGAATATCTGACTTTAAGCTCTCTTTGATGCCTGAGAGGACGAGTGATAAGGTTTCGTACCAGTTGACGTTTTCGTGTGCTCGTAGAGCACTTTTAAGTTTGCAGTGAAACCGTTCAACTTAACCATTTGGTGCTGGGTGGTAGACGGTAATGTATATGCGTCCCGTACCAAACAGCTGGGTCAGCGAGAAGAATAGTTAATAGGGGAAATTTTCTCGAGTAAAGCGTGGAATTTACCGTCACGCGAATAAAATTTGAAAAGATTAGGTACACGTACATGAGAGTCTATTATATTAATACTACTCTTGTCGCTATCCGTCATGTCGAGTATATTATATATTGAGAGATAATATGAAAATATACGCCAGACGTGGATAGATAAGTAATAGACTCACCAAATTGACTTCTTTCGGCGATTGAACCACCGCTACAGAGAAACACGTGCCAAATAAATCCATAAGATCACCCGGAAGTCAAATATCAGAAGGCAGTTAATGGATCAAGTCGAGACATATTTGCTGACGATCTCGTGGTATCGAAAGAATACCGAGATCATGCCAGGATACATGCTTGATTACAAAGCGCAACCGAATTCCCGCGAGGTCACAATCAAAGTGTGAGAAAATGGATGCTTTTTAGCACAGTTAAACAAAAGCACATTAAAACAGTCATTGGTACATTTGGTTATAATAATAATTGTTTTCAATAAACCAATCGTGTTCTCGTTATAAAAGTGAGTCACTACAGACTCAAGGGGCTTACTGACGATGTTCTTTAATGTGCTCGTATTAGGGCGGGTTGACGGATTTAACCGCTGTAATCACGTCGCCTCTTATTCTCCTGTTGTTCAACGAGGATAATTTCAGGTGCTGGAGTTTATCCTCATGAGATTGATGTTTCAGACATATCACATCCTTGGTTGCTCATCTCTTTACCTGGTACAGGAGATTTGTACTCCTTTTGAAAATAGTGGTCGTATTGACACCGTGGGCTTCAAGATTTGCCAGTGAGTACGTTTTGAAAAGAGTTGGAAACATCTCTTGTGCGACTGTGTCAGGTTTCTTCGAATAAACTGAATAGTTACATTTACCTAAAATGCGTCCTTGGGGAAATCAAGTGGTTCGTCTTTTCGTTTTGATTGCTCTTCTATCTGCGAATCGTCTCCACGGATTAATGCTTATGAGCTTATGGCAGTAGGTAGTGTACTTTATGTGAACCCAAAAAACACAATTGGGATGGGGATAGAATAATGTATTCATCACAGAAAGCAAAAGGTGGCCACAACAGAACATTTTGTTTAATTACGGCTCCTTATGGTTTAGTGGGATGTCACGAACTTACGGTAAAGAAGCTGATTTATCACGCAAAATACCTCTTTAGGTCGTGTTACGAACGTTGAATTGGTTTCACTTCATACCCAGAAATCCTATTACAAGCAAACTAGACAATTCGCTAATATACGAAGCCTACTCAAGACCCTATAATAACTGGGGGAAATATATTTAAAAAAAACGAAAGGGGCTCTAATAGATTCGATAATAAAAGGAAGACAGCCAATTGTATATCAAAATACTGTTTCTAGCACTATATTTTGTTTTATAATCACACATAATCTTATACTCTCAGCTCTTTTCCGAATCGCCTCCATTTGTCAGTTGTATGTCCACTCACACCTTGTCAACACTTATTTTCTTTAACCTATTAAAATGCTCTTTCTTAACATATACCTTAATAAAGGAAAATTGGACTGAGTTATCATACCTTAAACATTCCTTCATGAATATTGGCTACTCTGACTCTCGTGTTTTCTTTTACTTGCTCCCTCTTTCAGCCCCCTTGAGATATGGAACTGGTGACTTCATCCTGCACCATCCTTAAAGTCTTGGATATCCCAAAGGAACTTTAGGTTGCGATTTCTGAAAGCTCATACCTTCAATGGACCTATCCTTGACCATCAGTCGCCCATTCGCAACGCAACTTTCATGAAGCGCGACAACTGTGGTACTGACTAAAACCATCTACATTCATATCTTATAAATTATCAACCCAGCTATTTAATTTATTACAGTGTATATTGTATCATTTGTATCAATTTGTTCTTGCCTGTAAACTGGCATGCCTCATGTAACAAACTGTTATTTGAGAATAAATTATTATTATTATTATTAACTGTATTAATGAACCACGGTGTCCCAACCACATATACCCATGTTCAAGTCTTCCAAGTGTTGAGCGTTCAATGTAAGTCTTCTCAGTTATCATATGTTAAGCTTCGATGATGGTGACTTTAGCAGTTGATGTTACCACGGACTCTCCAACATGGGACTTACGTTTATTACTAGAGTTGTGGAGATTATTAAGTTTGTGATTGAGATCATGAACCATTTGATGTTAGACCATCACAATTGAAAACCTGAAAGCACTGGACGGCCGTTTCGTCCTATTGCGGGACCCCTCAGCAGTGCGCATCTACGATCCCGCGAGTGGGATTCGAAGCCAGGGCCTTCGGACTCGCGCGCGAACGCTTAACCAACTATCACCATCGGATGCCGGCTCAGTGGTTCGGTTGGTTTAAAATGTACAAATCAATATAGAACTGGGTGTATTCTCCACTACAGTTGTTGTCATGACTTCGAGGCGAATAGACCTCCACTTGTAATAGTCTTGGTGTTCTCGCTTAACGTCTTACGAATCATTGCTAATCGGTGTTTCAAGAATAAATGGCTAATGATACAGTCCTATCTAGAACGTGTCTATCGCTCAAATTCATGGAGGAAGAAGTGAGAATTCAAGGCATTACAACTCCCAGCTACGATCAGGTACACAAAACGGATGTAGCGGTGATATACATTAACAGTCACCTCAAAGCTATGATAACACAGTGCTGAACTAACTGAAGTGATAGAATTATACCAATGTTGCTTTGATGAGAACGGCTGAAAGTACTTGATTGTAGAGACATGTCAGCCCCCCACATCTTCTAACTCTCGGAAGATGGGATAATACAAGAGATGCTAGAGCTACATCATCTGGGTTCTAAGCTAATACTTCTGTTCGGAGACTTGAACACTCTACCACAAAGCCTAAGCAAGTAGAATATGACCCCTTCCGAGTGATTTAATGAGAGACTTGTTGCAGCCATTAGAAGTACAGCATTGACTGAATATGTGTATGACGCCATGAGATAGGAAAGGAATGGAAGATGCTAGTAAACACACTACCATAACATCGTCATTAAGCCCCTTGAGGTAACCCTCGGAAGATTGCACATCAAAGATCTAACACCTAGATACGCTCTCATCTTTTATCATTATTAGTCGCCCTCATTTGGAGTGCCTTTCCATCCGAAGTGACTACCACCCCCTCAGTACATGGCTTTTAGAGGAGATTTGGCAAGCACTAACCCATGCATTACCATCACCGTCTTCGGCCAGCTGTGTCTGATGCATGTCTTACAACTTGCCGCGGTTATCATTACCATGCATCAGTGACCACTTTCCATTTCCTTTTTTATCATCTCCGTCTCCCCTCTCATCCTTTCGACTCCGTCTTCTCACACATTACCAATTAGTTATTCCTTCTTGGAGCCGTCGTCTTCTCTTCGCACTCAAATTATTACTTTATTATCTTTACATTGCAACAATCCAATTTCTTGCCTGGTAATGTGACAGCTGCTGGTATCAAGAAATCTTACTCTTCTGAGACAAGCGCACTCAATCAAATTGCAAGATGTGCACATCCACAATTGACTACCAAACCTACTAGAATTAGTGTAGTCAAAAGTTTAGACTATCATCAACGGAAAATTACCAGATACCCAGAAAGGTACTATGATAACAAGAAGCAAACTCAATGATATTAGTCTGTTGTATTATTATTATTGTTGTTATTCTGTAACAGTCGAACTTCAATCGCCATCGTTAGAATTTCTTGTATACTTGCTGATTTCAGATTCATCTGAGCACGGGCACTTTATTTTGGTAACTTAACTATGTTAGCAATATCAAAATTTATTTTACTTCACACAGTATTACAAAATACATTTCTTCAGTCTTCAGTAATAAGGATAGGAGGTCTGTCGACCTATATTAATCCTTGCAGTTTGTAATACTGTGGAGGTCCAATCTCGTTTTGAATATATTTACAGACGATGCTGATATTACGTGTTCCGGTAGAGAATTCCAGTAATTCACTACTCGGTGCGAGAAACGGAACTCCAGACGTAAACGGTTTGATCTCGGTTTTTGAACTTTCTTCGAATATCCTCTCAAATGATCGGTTCTATACGGAAGCAAAAGATAAGACATGTTAATACCAAGGTCATCGTTCAGTATACGATAGGCCAATATTAGATCACCCCTTATTCTACGGTAAGATAACGGAAATAAGTTAAGGTGTATCAGTCTGTCTTCATAAGATAGGCCAGATAAACCTTGTACCATCTTAGTAGCTCGTCGTTGGACTCTTTCTAGTATATCTGCTTCATATTTGAAACAAGGATACGCTGCTTGAATCCCGTATTCTAAATGTGGTCGCACATAAATCGGGTATAGTAAACTAAACATTTCATCATCTTAATACTGGAAAGACCTACGAATTGACCATAATACCCTATAGCTTTTCGCAACATTTCTGTTTTCTTACTCAAACTTATTTAACCTTTGCAATCACATTGCTATTTGTCATTGGTTCTTCTTTTTATAAATTACGCTTTCTGTTTGGATAGCAAGTAGCCTCGTTTTGTCAATGTACTGTACTTATACTGGCTTTGAGAATTGTTTTAACCATTCGAATGTAGCGTTTCCATAACTCCACTTTTGACTTTATCATAAATTAGTAAGCTCTCGTCGTCTCTTGTCAGCAGATTAAATTCTGAATAAAAATTGTCTTAGTCTTATTTCTATAATATTGATGATTGCTATATATAGCTTATTAAATTTAAGTTTTCTCTGCGTGCTCACTGAGTCATGGGCTAACTCTTTCTCTTTTCTTATATATTACAGCTGTTCTCACATAAAATTCTGCACATTTCCTCGGCATAAAAAGTACCTTACGAATAGACACAGACAAATAATAACATGATGCCACTGAATGTTTCCTTGATAAAATATGACAATCCATTACTTATTACTAAAAATTCAGATAAAAAATCTCCCGGGGTAACTTAAAAATAGAAAGTTTAAATTTTTTTCAGGCATCTACGTTAAAGGGAACTCATCCGGTTACAGACTCTTCAAACAAACCTTGTGTTTCACCCAGAGGAAAGACATCCTTAGTTGAAGCTAAAAGCAACCAACAAACAGAAGAAATATTGAATTCGATTCTTCCGCCTAGGTAGATCTAAAAAATATGCATCACATTATGAAGGGAGTGGAGTGAAAACGGTCAGCTATGGATTCAACGTGCTTCAAGCACACCAGCAACACGACTTGACGTTGTTAATTTACAGGAAGAGCTCGATAGACGATTACAACAGCGTCAAGCTAGAGAAACTGGAATATGCCCAGTCCGCAGAGAACTATACAATCAAGTAACAAAAAGGCTCTTTAAGATGGAATATTTCTCAGGTATTTGACGAACTAATAAGACAAGTGACTATTAATTGTGCTGAACGGGGTTTGCTTCTCCTTCGCGTCCGTGACGAGATAAGAATGACAATAGCAGCATACCAAACACTTTATGAATCAAGCATAGCATTCGGCATGCGTAAAGCTCTTCAATCTGAACAAGGGAAAGCAGACATGGAACGAATGGTAAGATATACTTATGTTAAGACTTCCATATATTTCTAAATAGTGTATCTTGGTTAAAACAAGTTTGTATCGAAACAGTGGTTAACTACCTACATATTCATGGTTGAGTGAACTCAGTCAAATCAGTATCAGTCTATCAATTTCACGAATATCAGAGATTTGTTTACTGTTTAATTAAAAAATAATCTCGTATTTCGATTATCTATTTTTAGTCTTGGCTGTAGTTTTATAACAAAATAAGTATTTTGTGAAAAAACTCGTTGAAGCATATTTTCAGCTTCAAGCTAGGGTGTCTTATTTTCATGGTCTACAAATACACAGGAACACGAACTACTCCAAGTTGTCGTCGAGACACTTGGTTGACACTTACGGTAATAACTTGACCCCATTTTACTGGTAATTTCGCAAACTTACGTAAACATTCAAGCCTTCTGCAATTTAATCTAAGTATTGAAGTGGTGTAGCAGCTTAACCCGGCCAACATGTCTCAAGTCCTATGTTACTTATGTTTGAATGAACGTGGTGTTTGCGTCTCTTCTAAAACTGAATTGACTTAGAAAGAATTATGGCTTTAGGAATAGATACGATAACAATAACTCTAGTTCACAAAAATCAAGACATTCCTACTTTATGAAACTGAAACGTGGAGAACTACTACAACCATCATCAAGAGAGTATAAGTATTTATGGATAGTTGTCTGCGCAAGACATTCAATATCCGTTGATCGGATATCATCAGCAACGGCCTACTGTGGGAAAGAACATACCAGGTTCTATCTGATGAGGGAATTAGGAAAAGACGATGGAGGTAGCTGTCGCGGGAATCACCAAGCTGCACCACGAAGCATACACTAACTTGGAGTTCTGAAGGGAAACAGAAAAGGGGTAGGCCTAAGAACACCTTGTGTCGAAAATTGGAAGTAAACATTAAAAGGATGAATAGCGACTGGAAACGATTGCTCAGGACAGAGTTCGGTGGCTCATGCTCCTCCACAAAGTGTAACAGGCGTAAGTAAGTACTTCTATAACAAATCTATGTAATGGGTACTATTATCAAGCCCAAAATATCCTGAAGTTTCTCCTTTTCTGTAGGTTATTGATGCTTACAACCACCGAGAATAATTTATAAAACTCATCCTCATCTTAAAATCTAAACCCACTGAAGCTCGATGTTCGGTGGCTAAACAAATATTTAATGATACGATTTTCATTTTTATGTAAGCCACTTAATGTATGAGTCTCAGAGCATAGTGAACCAAATTAAATGAAGAACTACGTGATGTAAATCCAGTCTTATTGTTGTGTATTTTAAATAGTATGTTTGACTGAAAAACGCTTATTTTTCAAACGAACTCGATAGACACGGGTTATTTTGAGCAAATCTTTTATCTACTGAAAGTATATCAAACAAAGGTGGTCTTGATGTTAAAATAAGTAATCCATATTCAGTAATCTGTCTGTATTCACCATATGTTTCGCTCATTCGCAGTCCAAGGTAGATCATCTAATCTTTATCTGTTAATAGATTTAAAGTTTGGAGCACTTAAGTTCACTAAACACGATCAAGAATCATGGCAGATACCAAGAGCTTTTACTTGAACTAAGCTACTAAACTCCACTATCATTAGCTTTTTTTACACTACTGTACTACATATTGTCATTTATTAATATGCTTTCCTGGTATATTATTACTTTATAAGTTTTAAATAAGGTGTGAATAGCATTAGCACACTTGTGATCTTATACATGGTGGATCAGTGTCACTAGATCCTGCGAAAATTTAATCGACATTAACACTAAATTCTTTACAACATAGTGAAATCTCCATGAGGATAATTAGTGATAGACGTGGATGTCAAATAATGTTTGAAGAATAGAACAATGTACTTATAAGTCTTTTTCTGCTTGAAAATTAGGTAGAAATTTAAAGTCACTGATGATATATATGCCCCCAAATGACCTGGTACAGCTGAGAGTCGGCTCTCCCTCTCGAAATGTTCTCACATGGCTACGCGTATATAGCATCTGCCAGAGAAGTCCTACGCACTGCCTTATCGTAGTGGGGGTGTTGTTTACGAAATTAAAAGGACGAAAAGCGAACGCTCGGCGCTTTATCCGGGTTGGTTGACATGGAGAGTTCAGCTAGGGGAGTCGGAAAATACCTAGGAATTCATTACAAGCATTTGTGGTCATTGATAGTTTTTAGATTAATATTATTTATAGATTAGTGATTTGGAACAAGAGAAGAAAGATTTAGAAAGACAAGTATATGAATTAAAAACAAAGTGTGAACAGATTGAAAAACGTGCAGCAGAACAAAGACAATTAGAAGAAAAGAAACATCAAGATGAAATACAATTTTTAAAACGAAATAATCAACAACTAAAGGTTAGTTAATCTAAATTGACAATGTATGTAATAATTGTTTTATATTTTATTAATGGATTATCAAAATGATGAATAAGGAATATGATGTATTCTTCACAGTATTTATTGTTGAAATATAATAGTCAGGTTTCTATTCTGCAATATCAAAGCAACTCAATTCGTCTAAACTTCGTCTCTACATAGATTAATAGTTAATAGTGTGGAAAGAAATACGATTTATTTCATATACATGTAAATAAAGATTGCTGTAATATTTGTTAGGCCTTTCTCGTTCTCGTATACATCAGCTACCTATCAAGTAGTTGATAAATTTACTTGCTTATTGAATAGTAGTAATACAAAGACCGAGAACACATGTGGGGATAATCGAATGTATTTGAACACAACATTACAGAATCTTTTAGTAAAATGTGTGAACCATACAGTAAATACTTCCATTTGCAAAATATCAGTTAGTTGTCTCAAGTTGATTGTTCTCTCGTTTCCATACCAAGTACTCTTTGTTCTCGTTCTCTTCTTTTCGATCTTCTTAACTGTCTAGTACCAGATGTTTCACTTTTGATTGATGATACATACTGCTTCTATCTATCAACACCAGTAGTACATACCATAGTAACCCTTAGTGAATTTGATCTCAAGGATTTAAATAATGAACATGTTCTTGTCCAAGAAGCATTGTTAGTTGATTTATATACCACAATGTGGATCATATTTTATATTTCATTTGTCTGATAAAAACACTTCTCATATGGTGGCTTAAATGTAGCCTATCGACTTATTTTTTTTTCAATTTTTAGGCTCAATTGGATGGAATTATGAATCCGAAGAAATAATTGTCATCCCATTATATTTACGCATTATTGCTAAATAACTCCATATACGATTTTGTCTTCATTTCTTATTTTAAGACAGTAATTTCTGTTATAAAATGTATGGTATCTAATCTAGGCAACTAGAATATATTATTGTACCATATGAAGGCTTCAACTATCATATTGTGAATACCAAACTTTCCATTATAATTGAAATAGTATGGTTTATTTTCTGATTAGGTATAATAGCTTAAGTCGTTATTTACCATATCAGACGACGTACATTGAATAAAAACAGAACTGAACAAAAATAAATCATGTTTGACAGTTTATTTATTTTAACACATACATATTGGTACAAGGAGGCACCAAATACATATGCACCGAACAGATCTCATTTGATGTGTGAAAACTATGGTACTACCCGGGTGCCCGAACCGAAACAAGTGGTTTTCTTAGATGGCCACACCCGCAGCCTTCAACCTGAAGTTCTGGTCCACAAGGCAGTGGAGCGACGTAAGGAGATACAATCCCAACGATTGGTTCATGAGCCATTTGTTCCTTCGAAATCCTGGAGCCCATGTGCACCATTAGTTTGGAATGAGGGTTTTCCAACTCCCCTAGGTGGACTCTCAATGTCCATCAACCCGATTAAAGTACCGGACATTCGCTTTTCGTCCTCTCAATTTCGTAAAGAATACTCCTACCACGAGAAGGGAGTGAGTAGGACTTCCCTGACAGTGATTGCATCCATGCGGCCATGGAAGAGCATTTAAGGAGGGAGAGCGGACTTTCCCCACTCTCGGCCGTACCAAGGCATTTTAAGTCATACTTGACAGTTGTTAATCGATGTATAAACAGTGAATTTTCTAAACCCTGTTTTTTAAGCTCATCAAAACAATGTTAATACTCATAATGAGAGGATACAAAAATCATCAATTAATACTATCATCATTTAGAGCTTATTATTTAAACACACAAACACAAGGAGGCACTGTGTTGAGATAAGATAGTGGTTGGAGGTAGTCAATAGGAAACCTGAACCCTTAACATTAAAGGTGCACCTTACTGACGAGTGCCAAGTAGCACGAAACCCGGGTCCAGGGTTTCCTGTTGACTACTTCCAACCATCATCTAATCCCAACATATTGCACGCAATGTCGAGTCACCTAGACTGGTGGTCACACTGCAATTTAGTAGGTAGCATTCGATCTGCAGTCAGTCAGTCAGCTACAACGTAGGACCAGGTACATATGTGCATCGGTCCAGGTTGCCATACCGCATCAACACAACAAGATGAACACCAGATTCATAACAGTGGTTAGGTAAAAGGTGGTAATATATAAGAGAAAGATTGCATATAGAGATATAGTACAAGCAGAAAGAATTGGTTCGTAGAAAGAAAGATATGAAGCGATTTTAATCTCATAGTTTAAGGGAAGACAGGGAGTGTATACACCGACGCCATTGTGATCGATTCTGAGCCATGTCACCAAGTTAGTGACTTCAAGCACTGATGCCACGTTTTGGTTTGGCCGCCCCTAACTTTCTTCCAACCATTTCCAATATCGGATAGCATTGCACGTCGTGGTATTCGGTGTTCAGGTATACGTAACACGTGGCCCAACCATCTCAGTCGATGAAGATTCATAACCTCATCAACTGATTTACCATCCTTTCCTAATAGCCTGCGTCTAACCTCACTATTACTTACCCGGTGATCTCAGCAGACGCCAGCAATATTTCTTAGGCATCTGTGGTCAAATACTAATAGCTTACGAGTGTCTTCTACTCTTAAAGGCCATGTTTCGCTGCCGTAAATTAAAACAGTACGGACTGCCGCGCAGTATACTCGTCCTTTTATTGATAGATGGATATCTCGCCTTCGCCACAGGTGACGTAAGTTGGCAAAAGCCAAACGAGCTTTTCGAATCCGTGCTGAGATTTCGTCCGATACCAACCCATTAGGGCTGATCAGACTTCCAAGATAAGTGAAGTTGTCAACGCGTTCGACTACTTCACTCCCTATCCTTTGTTCAGGTGTTAACGCAGACCAGTCCTGAAGCAACAACTTGCATTTCGAGGGAGAGAAGCGCATTCCAAACATCCTGGCATTGTTGCTCAGTGCTACCAGAAGACTCTGCATTTTGTCAGCGTCTTCACCAAACAGGACTATATCATCTGCGTATTCTAAGTCGATAAGTGAACCTCCTGGAAGGAGATCAATACCTGAGAACTCAGTCGACGAGAATGTTATTTCCATCAGTAGGTCTATGATGAAGTTAAACAAAAATGGGGAAAGTGGACATCCTTGACGGACACCACTTGAGGTTGCAAAAGTAGATGACAGTTCGCCATAAGCTCTGACTCGACTAGTAGTGTTCGAGTAAAGAGCCTTTACAAGGTTTATGTACTTCTGGGGTACGCCTTTCAATGACAGACACTGCCACAGAAATCTCGCGGTCTACAGAGTCAAATGCTGCTTTTAAGTCAAGAAAGACCACCATCGTCGGACGCCGATAAGTATGCCTATGTTCTAGAACCTGACGAATGGTGAATATGTGGTCGATGCAGCCACGACCAGGTCTGAAGCCAGCTTGATTTTCTCGCGTTTGCAGTTCACGAGCTTTAGTTAGGCGTCTGATTATTATTGAGGCTAGTATTTTAGATATTATATTAGTTAAACTAATCCCTCTGTGGTTGTCACAGGATGATTTTGACCCTTTCTTATATATTGGGACGATAAGTGATTGTGACCAGTCAGATGGAATAAAGTCTAATTCCCAGATCTTAGCTAAAATATTAGTCAGCCTAACCGCTAAAATTGGACCACCATCCTTAAAGACTTCTGGAGCCAGTCCATCTGGACCAGCAACCCTTCGTCGTTTCAGATTATCTATAGCCTTTTGAACTTCAGCAAGAGTTGGGGGACCTACTTCAATGTTCCATTCACACTGTCTGGGAATGGAGGGTAGTTTTAGAGTAGCTGAAGGCCAGCTGAACTGTTCTCTGAAATGTTCAGCCCATCGTTCTAAACGCCTGGACTGGGAGCAGATGAGTGTATCGTCTTTTTCTGATATAATCTCACTTACACTTGACTTATTAATTCCAGTTTCTTTTATTAGTCTGTAAAACTGTCTTGTGTTCCCTATAGTCGCCGCCTTTTCCATCTCTTTTGCTTTCGTTGCCCACCACTGCTCACGGTCGTTTCTTAAACTTTTTCTTAACCTAGATCTGATTTGTTGTCGCTCTTCATCATGTTCGGAACCTGATGGGACGAGTTTGCGAGAATCCATCAGTGTGATAGACTTTGAAGAAATCCACTGGTCCTTTGAAACTCTGTGGTTTAAGTTGCTAATAGATGTCACTGCTGCTTGTATGTCTTTCCAAGCAACATCTGGGTCAGCCTCGTCTTCAGAACTACCTAAGTGTGAACTTAGTTGTTCTTGGAACCTATTTTTGGTTTTCGCGTTACTCAATTCAGTTCTAATTGGTCTTTTTAATGTGGCTTTTTTGCGTCCGGTGGGGCGCAAGCAGATGCGTGCCCGTATTAGGGCATGATCGGAGTCCAAGCAGGTACTCCAGAATGAGCGACAATCTTCTACCGACCCTCTCCAACGATGACTGATGGCAATATGGTCTATTTGAGTCCATCGTTGGTTTGGTGTAGGGGGTCGCCATGTTAGACGATGTCTCTCCTTATGCTTAAAATTTGTGTTTGCTAAAAATAAGCGATTGTCTGAGCACAGTTGCAGCAGACGATCACCATTATCTGTTCGCTGTGCCGGAATGCTAAAATATCCACCTAAATGCCTTTCTGTTTGGTTTAAGCTACCTATCTGAGCATTAAAGTCACCCCCTACGAGTACTATGTCTGAGCGTTTAGCTTTCTGAAGAAGTTCAGATAACTTTCTGTAAAATTCATCGTTCACTTCATCTGAGCTGCAGTCAGTGGGAGCGTAGGCAGAAACGATCTGCACTAAGAAGGACTTGGCACATATGAAATTGATCAGCACCCAGTGATCAATCAATTGTGATTATAAGGAAGCACCAAATGGATATGCACCACATAAATCATTCAATTTATGTGAAGGCTTGGACACTTCACTGATGCCCAAATCAGAGCAGATTGTTTTCTTAGAGAGCCATACCTGGAGCTTTTGACCTAAAGGTCTGATTCACGAGGCAGTGGAGCAACGTTAAGAGATGCAGTCTCATGGTAGGCGGTGGCCAATATTAGGTTCATACGCCATTCGTTCTCCCAGAATTCTGGAACTCATGTGCACTATTAGTTTAAAATCAGGATTTTCCAACTTACCCAGGTGAATCCTCCATATTCAACAACCCGGTTAGAGAGCCGGACATAGGCTTTTCGTCCCTTGGGTTTCGTAAACATACCAACCGCGAGTCGAACTTTTGTGGCAGTAGTTGTATGCACGTGGCCATATGATAGCATGTCGAGAGGGATAGATGACTCTCTTCACTCCCGGCCGTACCAGGGCATTTGGACAATGAGACTAACATATAGATGTAAATGTGACTACGTAGTACTGATGTTGTCTTACATATTATCAAAATTCATAATTCTTATTTAAACATCCCCAAATAAGGGATAAGTTAGCTAATCTTGTTACATTCACGTGCATCTAAGGATTCACATGATGCTGTGGAGAGAGCTATAACGAGCATAGTGGCATGAAACATCTCGTAGTTGGGAAAATGGTAGGGTCAGAACTCAGTTCAATTCTATCACACTTAGTCGATAGCGGTCACGAAATAGACAGAACTAAATCTTTAACAGTAATATACCGCATACTTAATAATTTTCCTTATGGGGTTCTTTCTCGTCTCTTATATATAACGGAAACTATAAGAATTCGAGCTAACACTCCGTCTTTGTACTCATAAAAATATTTGTAACACGATTATATCTTCTTTGACTGAATAAATAAGGCTTAGAAAATGATTTTACTGATATTCATTTCTCATAACCCCCGAGGATTTGCTTTTTTTTAACTTCCTTTCGAATACACTCTTTACTGTGTACTTATTCGAACACACAATATTATGTACTCTTAATAGCTTTATTAAATGTTATCTCAATTTTTATTCTCCCAAGTCTTTGATTCACTTATGATTATTGTGAACCGTTGATTTAATCCGTGATTATTCTTATCACAACTAATACATCTACCATACCGAACTATCGATTTTTACTTTTTAATCAATGGACATTTTAAATATAACATTAAAGCTAACTTGAGCTTCTGGTTAGCATTTTTCCTACGAGATGTGGTTGCCCACCACACATCCAACCCTCTTCCTTTACCCGGGCTTGGGACCGGCAATAGCCCTAAAAGAGCTACAGGCGAAGAATGGTGGTGAGCGGATTTTCCCGGCTTTCTTACAACTTACTCTTATATCAGTTCAACTAGTCACTAACAACGTAGAACTTCGTACGTACGTACATACGTACATTAGTTCAAGTTGCCATACCACATTAGCACAAAGATACAATTGTCGATTCAAATCCAACAGTGGTAGAGGTAGTAAGAGTATAAGCAGTAATCGGAAACATTAGGGTTTGAAGATGTTATTCAAAGAGTATAATCCAGTGGAACAAATTTGGAAAGAGAAAAAAATAAGGGACATGAAGAATTCAGAAGATTAGAATTTGAGAGAACACAAAGAGTGGATGCACCTGCGCCATTTGCGTCAATCAAAGTCTCTAACCATCGGTTGCTATCATCTCGCAGATCCCAACCAGGTAGTCTATACTTACCAACATTGCTCAGTCCACTTGTCAGTGACTTAGACTAAGTAATCCAAACATTCTAATCCATTTAAACAATTTTCTTAAGAATAAATTCATTTTAATTTAAAAACAAACAAAAAGTACACTGTGCAACAAAATGCACAGTATACAATTCTATCCAATTTACATGTTCCAATGAATATTTATTACATATAAACACATAAGGTAACAAATAATCAGTATTTTTTTCCTTCTTCAACATTGAACCATTAAAACAAAACTTCACAAAAACATATTGTCTTACTTTTTTTTATACAAAGATTCTCCATAAAAAAACCCAGTTCAATAGTATATCATTACAATGTATAGAATTAAGGGATTACTAAACAGCTGACGAATCATAACGTTTCGGTGGTCTAACACGTCTAGTTGATCGACGTACAGTTTCTGATGAATCAGTCATAGAACTTGTTACAGATGAATTATCATCAAAATCATCCATATCAATTGGTTGATATGGATGATGATAATGATGATTATGTTCTTGATGAAGACGATCTAAATGATCAAGCATAGATTCTGTTGTTTGTTGTGAAGAATGAGTAGAGATTTTATGATGATGTTGATCACGTGTTTTGCGTGACTTTACTGTAACTTTTGGAGTAGCATCTTCGTTATTATCAACATCATTATTAGTTAACGGATGAGTCGTTTCTTTAGTATGAAATCGATCTAAAACAAGCGTTGGATTTTGTAATTTTGTAGGTGTGAAAATTGGAGTTTTAGTAAGAGAAGTTGTATTGTCAACCTCAATTAAGTATCTGTCAAAATGAAATTCAAATACATCAAAATAAGTGTAAACGTTTTTCAGTAAAGCACTATTTTAATAGACATTGGTCGAATACAGATAAACTGCATAGAAAAGGAGAAAGGGATCGAATAGGGATGACCAAATCAAACTGTGACATTAGTTCATGAAGTTATCCCGACCGTTGTTGCTACCTTGACGTGGTAGTTGGGCTTCCCGATCGTGATGAACCAATTGAGCTATATTGGCTGGAACAATCGTTCCATGATCGTACCATGTCCGACAGGTCGGCTGAAGAACGGTAAGGCTAAAAGCAACAAACCTAAGGTCTGAAGGCGATGTCGTACTACAGACTGTACAGAGGTGTGACAGCAGTAAGGTGTTTCCTTCAGACATCCAGCATGACAGCGATGCTGCCTTCCCGCAAGGATGGGTGGGGTTAGAAAAGGTCGACCCTAAAAATGCACACCTCGCCTTATCCCACGGATATCCGTCTCCGGCGGTAAGGTTGCAACAAGTACGGAGCTAACACAAAAATTACCCATAAAAAGGTCGTGCGTGACCAACCTCAAGCAGTTGTTCCTTGGGAACTGCGGTCACGCTCTCAGGTCACTAAGACCACCCCTAATCCAATTTCCTTTCCAGGCATCTCCAGAAGAACCCTTCCACGGTGTGGGCAACCGGGAAGTGATAACCGCCCTAATACATTTAACAGCACTCAAGACCACTGTATTCATCATGAAGTTATTAACTGATGGACTAAATTATGTAGCCGTTAAATATGCTCAAAATATTTGATTCGGAAATAGCTTATTCGATTGTTTCATGATATATGGTATGATCAAAGTACCTGAAACCTACAAAAGTTTTACACTTCCATAGTTTATATTTCACAGTTGTAGAATGATACAAAGTGAACTGTTGTACAGTATACTCTTCCATTTGTTGCCAAATGGAAATTTTGTTTACCCAACAAGTAGTTTTAGTTTGCAAAAGTTAAGCGACCTTTCTGGAGCTAATGATAATGACATTTCAATGAGATAAGTGAGGTGATCAGCATTCCTTATCATCAGTATATATAAAGGAGTTAAAATATATAAAGTTAAAATTGAATAACAAATGCACTGTTATTTACTTCCTTCTATTTACCTGTGGAAGCAAAATCCGACCTAAGGCCTCCTCGCGGCGCTGTTGGATAATATAGGCAACCTTGTTAGATAACTCAGGTGGTCGATGGAGATAAGACTGATCATCCACTCTGTGATACCCTACACTAACTCGGGTTCCAACTCGAGGCTTACTAAAGCGCACCGGGCCACCTGATGTGTATGCTTATGTACCAGAATTACAGAAGTCCTCGGGCCTATGTAGTTCATATATATAGGCATATGTAAAGAGTGTGTGTGTTGTCGTACAAAGGAAATGGTAACTGAAATATTGTCTGTCCTATATCTAATAAAATCAGCGGCCTATTCTATCAGGTCGAAGACATAATAAAAAAATATGATAACAAATACTAGGAAGAGGTGACCAACAACCTTACCTGACAGCACGTTTATGCGTAGTGTTAGGAAGTACTGAGGTGGTAGCCAGAGACTGGATGATATGTATGTAATGTGTAAGAGACAATCTGTTGTAGCAAATACGTCTCTAAGGGAGCGGTGAACATCTCCCCTCCCAAATGGATGAATATACCTATATGTACGCTATGGGATGCATGGGATAAAATCTGTGTGTTACCGGCATGCGTGTAACGTATACTCACTCACAAGGGTAGGCATACCTGTATGTATACCAAGAAATACTCGGATGAAATTCCATGTATTATCTAGTATGCATGTAGACTATACATATCCACGGTAATTAAAAACTTCAAAAATCCTTTCTTGCTCTTCTTATGATACCAAGATACAAGCAAAGACATGCAAATCTGCGGTTTCCCACAAAATCACATTCACGTGATGGATTTGTGAGCCTTCAAAACACGCAATTCATCCCAAAATGGCTTACATAGGCATGCCCAGAAAAGACTTAATCAGCCAATCTGGCTGAAATACTATTTACCTGCATTTAAAGCAATATATAAGTTGGGAACAATCCAGGGTTTTTGTTCAAGATTATCATCACATCAGTTGTATTATCATGTATAATTCAAATATTAATTATCTTATGAATTTTATTACAATTACACGTTTATACATTCAATAACACAGGTGAAAACAATAACGTAATACTGATTATCAGTAGAAACGTTTTAACTAAACTGATCCACATTAGCGAATTTATAAACTTCCATGGATACATACAGTGTCGAGTCACCTAGGCTGGTGGCCACATTGCAACATGGTCGATAGCATTCGATCTGCACTAATAATAAGGACTTGACACACATGACATTGATCACTACCCAGTGATCAATCAATTGTGATTACATCTCAGTCCTACAGGAGGTCGGTCGTGGCTCGGATAGCTCAGTGGTAACGTCTCTGACTGTGAAGCTGGGTGACACGAGATCGGGTCCGCCAGGGAGCACCAGTCCCCTCAATATTACAGGTACACCTTGCTGACGAGTACCAAGTAGCACGAAACCCGAGTCCAGGGTTTCCTGTCGACCACCTCCAACCACCACCTAACTTCCATGGATAATTTCAATATGAGTTAATGTACGAAAATTTCTTTTATTTCTAATCATGAACTGATTGATGTTAGACCACCATGGAAAACTTGGACGGCCGATTCGTCCTATTGTGGGAATCCTTAGTTGTGCACATCCATGATCCCGTTCGCAGGATTCGAACCAAATACCTTCAGTCTCGTGTGCGAACGCCTAACCTCTAGACCATTCAGTCGGCATCCAATGATGTTAATGTCTGATCTCAACCAATACGCGAAATTGCGCGATCATCTTTCGTGGTCGTGGATGCGCACTGCAGAGAAGTCTCACGGTAGGACGCAACAGCCGTTCAATGCTTCCAGGTTTTCAATAGTGGTCTAACATCAATCGATTCATGATCTTAGTCAAAAACATAATAACCTTCACAACCCTATACTGATAATTAATTACTGTCATTATACGAAGAAATCTTACGTGGTCTTCGCCGTATTCATTTGATCACAATTTATAGTACTTTCATCAAAATCATTATTATTGTTAGTAGTAGTAGTAGTAGCATTAGAAGAGGATTGATTTGATTCATCCATTGAGATTGGTAAGACTGAAACTTTGTCAATATTATTATCTATGGATTGATTATGTTTAATTGTTTTACTTATTAATGGTGCTGAAAAGAGAAATTCATTCTTTTCGATAGATTTATTAAAGATTGGCTATTTCAAGGAGAAAAATAAAACAAAACAAAATTACCAGAAGTTAAAAAAAAGAGAAACAATTCGATGTTATAATAATTTTCTTTGTGTCGCATAACTGTACTACTACTGTCCAATTTGAGTAGTTTATATATTAATTAGACAAATAACTCGGTCGTAACAGCAATAATAAGATAAATCATATCGAGAAATAGTTTGTCTTTGATAGTATTCAACAAGTTCAATGATTTTATATTAGAAATTTTAATCATCTAATATGTTGGTAGGTGTATATTACCTGGTTGGGATCCGCGAGATGATAACAACCGATGGTTAGAGACCTTGAATGACATGGCTTAAAAATCGTTTGCAATGGTGGGCGCAGGTGCATCCACTCTGTGTTCTCCCAAATTCTATTCTTCTGAATTCTTCATGTTACTCTTTTTTTTCTTCCCAAATTTATTTCACTGGATTATACTCTTTGAATAACATCTTCAAACCCTAATGTTTCCGATTACTGCTTATACTCTTACTACCTCTACCACTGTTGGATTTGAATCGACAATTGTATCTTTGTGCTAATGTGGTATGGCAACTTGAACTGATGTACGTATGTACGTACGTACGAAGTTCTATGTTGTTTTTGTCTGACTGATCTAGATATTTCAACAAGTCATCTGTTTTTTTAAATTTGTTTTAATACATCATTATATCAATTAATTCCATAACCTATTCAGGTGTGTTTGTGAAAAGTTTCGCTGTATACGTTAGGAAAGAACACTATTAGATATATGGTAGGTGCTGGCAATGTGCATCGAAAAGAAAGTACATTATTTAGATATCGATTCCTGAACTTCTAACATCTGATTGTGTAGTGTCGGTTATTATGTTAAGCCCATATACCTTATTCTAGCTTTCGGACAGCCCATTCTATTCATTCTACTTGAGTCACATTCTGACCTTGTTATTTATACGCTTATCAATCTTGACTGTTTTTAAATGAGCGCGTAAGTGTGTGTACAATTCTTATCTCATTACTCATCACATGTCTGTAACTTACTGTTGTGTAACTATAAATATTGATTAACGCTTGGTTAAAGGGGAGTTGACTTACCAGCCATCTCCACTCCGCATCGTTTATGTTCTCTCTATTCCATTCACTTCATATACAAAATATATGTATTCAAAAGTCCATTCTCGTTATTTGACTTATCTAAATCCGTTATTGACTAACGCGATTAAAGTTGATGATTATATACGAGGATAGGCGACATATATATTTCAAAAACAATCATGATTACGATCTAATTGGAGTCAGATTTTGGGCCACTAAAGTGGAGAGCCCTTTCGACAATATCGTTCGATCATAAATGAAGACAAAATTACGGGCCTCACTAAAATTGGTGATCATTCAATATTTATTGTCAGAATTGATCAAGAAATAAGCAACGGAAACTTTTTGAAATAATTTGCACTGAGAATTCTATATTGTTCCAAAAATATAATACTGAATAAAGCTAATAATAATATTAATAATAACAATAATAATCTTCGTTCAATTATTCATTGTATAGATGATGTATTCTGTATTAATATGAGAGTTTTAACAAAATAATATCGTTCAGATGTTAGATGACTCAGTCAGTCAACAACAACGTAGAAGTCCGTACGTACGTGGATTAGTTCAAGTTGCCATATTACATTAGCATCAAGATACAATTGTCGATTCAAATCCCACGGTGGTAGAGGTAGTAAAACTACAAACAGTAATCGGAAAGATTAGGGTTTGAAGATTTTAGTTAATGAGTATAATCCAGTGAACCATGTCATTCAGGGTCTCTAACCATCGGTTTTTATCATCTGGCGGTCCCCAACCAGGTAGTCTACACCTATCAACATGGCTCAGTCCACTTCTCAGTGACTTCATGGACTTGTGCTATGTTTTTGTCTGGCCGCCCCTAACTTTCTTCCAACCTACTCCTATACCATTGATAGCATGAACAAGTAGTTTAGATATTCAAACAAGTCACCTATTTAATTTAGACACCCTTAACGTATTTCCAACCATCCCCAACATTATTTAGCAATGCATATAGTCTAACCATCTCAGTCGGTGAAGATTCACAACCTCACACATGAATTTATATTGAAAACTATGAAGTACTGTAAAACTGTTTGACTTTATAATATGGGACACTTTACTGGGTATCCACCATCCAACTCACAACTATAAACTATGATGAATATAAATTCAAGAAAAAAAAAGAGAATCGAAACCAGGTGAAAACCGAAAAAAGGCAACAACAAAAATAACTTACTGTATTCGATGATGTTAAAGAGAGACGATGAGGAGCGGAGAAAGTGAATTCATTACATTTATTATTTACATTATCCTGTAATAATTTATGCTGAAATTTCTCTGTATTCACAATACCTAAAGTAGATTGTTGTTTGTTTTTTTATAAAAGAAAATAATTTAGATGATTATTATGGGGAAAATTAGTTTAAAAACAAAAAAAATTTAGCTGGACCATCATAGAAAAACTGCTGAAGAGTCTCATAATAGAACGAAATGGTTGTCCAGTGCTTCCATGGTGGTATAGCTTTATTAATCGACTCATTAATTCAACTATTAAGATTAATATATTATCCACAAAACCCCTTCTGATATTAACTAACATATGCTCACTAGTGACTGTCTTCAAGAGGTCGATTCCAGGAATTCTAACGAGACGTCGTGACCAGTGGAATTCAACCGGGGCTGTTGTGAGGTAGTTACTCACTGAAGACAATGTTGGACGGTCGAGTAGTAATATTGTGGATTGGCTGAAGGTAAACATTAACATCGTTGGATGCGAGCCGGCTCAGTGGTCTAGTGATTAACCGTTAACGTGCGAGACCGAAAGTATTAAATTCAAATCCCGCATACGGGTTCGTTGATACCCACAGCTGAAGCGTTGTTACTTCCATTACTTCCAGGTTTTCAACGGTGGTCTTTCTTCAATTGACTTATGATCACAACTATTAAAAAAATAAAACTTTGACAGACTACAGTTAATTTATAAGTAATTGAGAAATCTGGATCGAGGTAAAGTCTACAACATCACATCACATCAACACAGTGAAATGATGAAATTAACAAAATGAATATCATAGTTGAATAAGTAGTAATAACGTTGGTAATAAGAAAAATAAACATTTGATATTGAAGATTATGAATTGAGAAGAATAAAAATGTAAATTAATTTTGAAACGGTATTTGATGAAAAATGAATCAATCTCTGCATCATGATCAGTGATTTTAAGTTATGTCATCATGTGTTTCTTAACAGTGACAACCATAGTAACGGAAATTCTAACTGAATACCCTATTACAGTTACCAACACTGCTCATATTAATTAGTGAATGAATTCTCTTTGAAGATCATAAGTTGTAAATATTTGACCTCATTTATTAAATAATGAAGTACATAGTGAACTGTTAAAATAAAGAATATATTACAAAAAAATAATGAAAATTAAAGTATACGAAGTATTTATAAATGTTAAGTTCTACTGTACAGAGCTGAAACGTGGAGAACTACCACAAACATCATCAAAAAGGTATAAGTATTTATAAATAGTTGTCTACGTAAGATACTTAACATCCGTTGGCCGGATACCATCAGCGACAGCCTACTGTATGAGAGAACAAACCACCTTCCAACTGAACGGGAAATTAGGAAAAGATGATGGAAATAGATAGGACATACATTACGGAAATCACCAAATTACATCACGAGGCAAGCCCTAATTTGGAATCCTGAAGGGAAGTGGAAAGTCAAAGAATACACTACGTCGGGAAATAGAAAGAGATATGAAAATGATGAATAATATATGGAAAGGACTGCCCAGGAAAGGACTGGATGAAAAGTGATGGTGTGTGGCCTATGCTCCTTCACGAGAAGTAACAGGAGTAAACAATTCATAAACATTTCGAAGTTTCCTATCGGTTTAAACTATTTAAAAGCACATTACTTTCATATACCTGGTCCTACATTATAGATGATTAAATAACTTTTATTAGGAATACTTTACTATTTCAGGAAAGTTCAGTAAATATTGAAGTAAGCGCATCTATCAAGTTAAAAATACTTTTATAAACGCGTTTTGTTAGTTCACATAACATTTTTGTGAAATTTCACTGGTTGAAACCATGAGTCAATTGAAGCTAGACCACCATGGAAAACCTGGAAGCACTGGACGGCCGTTTTGTCCTAGTATGGGAACCCTCAGAAGTGCGCACCCCCCCGCGAGATTCGAACCCAGGACCTATCAGTCTCGCGCCAGGTGCTTAATCAACTAGACCAGTGAGCCGGCATCCGACGGTGTTAATGTCTAACTTCAACCAATCCACGAAATTGCGCCACCGTACACCATTGTCTTCAGTGAGTTCCTATCTCACAACAGATTTGATTGAATTCCACTGGAACATCAATGAAATGATGCTATGAGACAATAGTATGGGATTTCTAACATTTCCATATTATTTGTTTTTGTACAATTCTAGATCACGAATAGTTCAATAGATCATTAATAACATGATTTCCCTTAGATGTTACATTGAACATTGGGAATGAATTAGTATAAAAATGTATTTTCAGTCAATTATAACTAATGAAAAACCAAATACAAATGTGTATTTACCTAAATCTACATATCAAATCAACATAATAAGATGAAAATAAAAGGATGAATAATGACAAAGTTCAAATAATTGAAATACTAATAATAGTATAAACGAATAAATTATTTCAATGGAAGCTAGACCACAATGGAAACCTGGAAGCACTGGACGGCCATTTCGTCCCATTGTGGGACTCCTCAGCAGTGCGCATCAACGACCTCGCCCCCCTGCGAGATTCGAACTCATGATCATAACCATTGAAATTACTATAATATCCACAAAACCCATCTGAGAATAAATTATTATTATTATATGAATACTTAAATATTGGTACAAAAGAGCATAGAATACATACGCGTCACACAAGTCAATTGATTTGTGTGTGGGCTGTGATACTGCTCGAGTGCCCAAATCGGGGACCATTCCCGAAGCCTTCGACCTAAAGGTCGACCTAAAGGCAGTGGAGCAACGTCAAGATATGCAGTTTCATAGTGGCCGATGACCAATAATAGGTTCATACATCACTTATTCCTTCAAGATTTTGGAGTCCATGTGCTCCAACTTCCCTAGGTAGATATTCCGTATCTACCAACCCGGTTAGAGCGACGGATATTCCCCTTTCATCTTCTCAATTTCGTAAACAACAGTAATGCCACGAGAAGGCAGTGACTAGGACTTCTGTGGCAGTAGATGTACACGCATGGCTATATGAGAGCATTTCAGGAGATATAACTGACCCTCACCACTCTCGGTCGTACCATGGCATTTGGGGGGGGTGTATGGATAAGGTATGTATAATAACTGAAACTTAAGATATAAAGAAAGATAATTATTGGTGATAGTAACACTATTCTTTTCTTTCACTTTTTTTGTTCTCTCAACTTGTTACGCTTTTAATATACATAAATTATTATCAAATTGTACTTACTTGGACGAACAGTTGATAAATTTAACGTGACATCACAATCATCATCATCCTCATCAATATTACAATCATCATCATTATTATCATAAATTTTATTACTGATTTCTTGATCAGTAGTATTTTTAATAAGATTTAATTCATTACTTAGTAAATTATTTTCATTCATTAGATGTGATGAATTTCTTATATTACTACGATTTGTTACATTTGCTGTATATGTCGAACGTGATGAAGATGATGATGTGGAGGATGAGGAGGATACGACAGGATTCAAAGAAGTGGAGAATAATGAAGATGAAGGTAATGATGATGAAGAAGAAACAATCGTCGCTGCTGCTGTTGTTGTTGTTGTAATCGTCGTTTTCATAGAATCAGCCATTGTTGAAACCGAAATTTCTTTATTGGATAGACACATTTTAGTCTAAACATATCAACAACAACAATAAAAAGGTACTAATAGTAAATGGGTAGTACTAACAATGAATCAATGTTTAAATAATCAAATTATTACACAGTTTATCATATATAAAAATTGAGGCGAGACTAAAATTTACGGACGAATCAATCAGATATAGGACGACAGGACTTAAATTTTCACCTGAAATTCACTCATCCATTTGGATAAATAAAGACTTAGCATTATAGCTGATGTCGGTTCGTGATGAAAACTCTTGATCTAATTCCTAACTCTAACCATGAACTGTAAATCATAATTCTAATTCATCACACTGGTTTATAACCCACATTTGGTCCTAGTTATTAGATGGAAACTCTCAATGTCACTTTAACGTCGCTCAAAGGTCGTTCATCAATTATAGTCTCACTAAAACTGCATCATAATCCCCTAAGTACTGATAAATTTCTATTGACCCAGTCTACCAAATGATCATCCAAGCACAACAATATGGAATTAAAATGAACTATGTATTGATTCTGATAGTTTCTAGTATGTTAGATTAAAAAGTGTTGATGTGGACAACTATAAAGTATTAATGATCTAATAGCTGCGATCATGATTTATTTGAAGCTAGACCATCATGGAAAACCTGGAAGCAGTGATTTATTTATTTATTTATTTGGACACATGAATATTGGTACAAGAGAGCGCCAATATATATGCGCCACACTGGAAGCAGTGAATGGCTGTTTTGTTCTATTGTGGGACTCCTCAGCGGTGAACATCCACGATAACTACCCAGTGCGATTCAAACCCAGAACCTATTGGTCGCGCGCACGAACGCTTAACCTCTAGACCACTGAGGATGTCTTTCACATAATAGTGAGGTCTTAAAAAGAATCTGAATAATTACTAAAAATAATGTTGATAAAACAGCAAAAACGAAAAAGCAAAGAGAGAGTTAGTTGGTGACTATCATCCAAGATCTGTATACGAGTAGTATTTCTCACCTGAGCACTGTAATTAAAGAATTTTATAACTGATACTAAAAATCTGTAAAACTAAAGATGGTGTGTTAGTACTACGTCTGAAGAGATTAAGATATTACCTGAACTAACGAACGGAACAAACGTCAACAACACAACAACAAGACAAGCTAAACTATATCACTGAGCCCCAGTCCTGCTAACAAGAGGGAAAAGACCAGATTCAGACGACAGGAAAATATATTCCGCAAGCAGTCGGAAACACGAACGATCAAGCACATAACTTCAGCATATATATACAGTATAAAATGTCCTTGGGAAACATCAAAAAATAGTATTAAAATAGGAAACGAACCAATGATAACTAAGGTCCGCCGAAGTGGTAAATACAATTTGAAGTTAAAAATATGCACATTTGGCGCGAAAATGAGAAATTCGAATTGTTGTGGAGATTCAGAAAACTCCTAGAAAAAAGCTCTGAAAATATTGAGAAGCATTTTATTCAATCAGCATTCACTAGAAGTTTTGTCAAAACATCTAGAAAGTGAAAAGTCGCATGTCGAATTTCAGATTGGATGATTACCTATGCTATTATTATGTTTAGTAGCGTTCCAGAATTTTCCGGAAACCCAAGGTCATCTGAAATATTATAAAACGCCTAGATTTTCTGTACATAAATGAACCTTCAAAGTAAAGCGTTTCTTCCATAACTCACGCCTTTTCTCTTGTGTTTACGCTGCTGTGTAGATCTAGTTTAGGGGTTACCAGAAGAACTTAGGAACCTAATCTAATGTTCAATTAGCAAAACTTATCTTCAAAATAAAATTACAAAAATGTAACCTTTACCAAGTGAGCTCTAAGGATCCAACATCCTCGATGGTTAAAGGTTTGGAGTTAACCTTTTGTTTAAAAATCATCTTAGTCATGGACCCTCATTAGCAACAGAAAACAATTCACTACAATGATCAAGTAATTATTATCATTTCTAATAAATAATTAACTAACCTTTAATATAGAAATCGGTTTTTGATTAAATGGACTTGATATTGAATTATTGAATAATGAATTAGATGTCATTGAACGATTTGTTATTGTATTTGAATGAATTTGTTTACGTCCGCAAGATGGTGGTGTATAGATACATCTAGATATGATTAAAATAACAGAAGATAAAATGTAGATCATTCCAATGAGAGTAGCGATACATACACATAACAAGAGCAAATTTTTTCTTTTCAACTAGAGATACGACTTAAATATAATCAACACTTAGTGATTCCATTAACTGATGGAATGACGACAGAGAGAGTAATGGCAGTAGTATTGATAAAAAGTAAAATAAAGAAGACGAAACTATAATTTATGGACGAGAAAATCAGAAGCGTTTGAGGAAATTCAATGTATTTCAGTACCTGATGTTCACTTACAACCGGTTCACAGTGGATTTTGAGAGAAAACATGATAATTGAGCGGCTGAAACAAATGGGATTACTAAGAAACTCCTTTATTTGTGATTATGGTAATCAAATGATTTGCGGTCCTTGTGCAGACTACCGTGATGATGTTGTCTTCCGATGTTATGTGTATTGGAGGAAGAAGTCTGCTAGAATAGAATTTTTTCGCTCGATCCAGATTGGGACTAAGGCAATTTATGATGATTGTTGCGAAATGGATAATAAAAGCACCAGTAACACTGGCTGCAGTCGGGTAGTACAATATATGCGGATGATTGGAGAGCGTACAGATGCCTGAATAGATTTGGCTATGTGCATCGTGTCGTTATCCACAAGCGGCATTTTGTGGACCCAACAACCAGAGTGCATCTAAACAATTTTGAAGCTATATGGTCGAAGCTGAAAGAGTTTTTGAGACCTTATCATGGCTCCAGAGGCCTACTAATATGGAACCATATAGATGTTATCCTTTACCGTATGCATTACGATTTCAGAACCTGTGAACCACTTTCTAACGTTGACAAATTTTTGAACCAAGTAAAAGAAGTGTATCCACTTTAATTTTTTAGTTTTGTATGGTATAGTTTAATTCTATACTAATTGTTTTCTGATTGGTCGATATTTCCAAAGGTCACTGAAGATTCTTTCACAGGTCGTCCATAAAATATAGTCTCATTGACTGTTTCAATAAGAACATTTTTTTCTGAATACGAAGAACTAGAAAGGCTGTGAACACGTATTTCCATACATCCAATTATGTGTATAAGAGATCCATTGATAAATTCGATAGTAAAATCCTTCATTTTTATCATTCATGCGACCACTGATATAACAATGTGATAAAACAAAGTCGTGTATTGGGATTTTGATGATAATATCTGGACATTGAAAAGAAATGTTCACTAGTTCGTTGCCTAATTTGTATGACGGAAAGGACTGACAAAGCTACTTTGAAAGATGGGGTTACATTACTACAAAAAGAACACAGGAATCAACCGTTAGAGTTAGTGAAACCTGCAACGATGATAAAATAACAAGACAAACATCGATCGATTAAGTTTATGAAAAGGTTGGATGTAGTGTCTTTGCTGTTTTACGACCACCAATTGGCTGTTTGCAAATGAAATGGATTTGTGAGACTATTTGTAAATACGATTCTATTCAAAATATTTTTGACTGAGAAAAATTTGAAACAAGGCAAATAATTGGTATGCATAATCAGAAGTTCTAAGGAACAAAAGAATAAGAGATGAAACAAGTACATTGCCAAGAAGATGTGAGTATTTTTAAAGAAGATGAAATAGATACCATACTCTAAGTTTTGTAAAATAAGGTTCTTATATACTGAGTTCACGTAGATGTTTTTTTTTACAAAAGTCGATAAAGAAAGTCAGTTCGTTAGTTACAACGTGGGACCAGGTACATATATGCATCAGTTTAAGTTGTCATACCTCATTACCACAACAAGATTAACACCAAATTCATAGAAGTAGTCACTTCAATGGTAGTAATGTATAAAAGAAAGATCGTGTATAAGGATATAGTACAGGAAGAAAGAATTAGTTGGTAGAAAGAAAGATAAGAAGCGATTTTAAGCTCATAGTTTAAGGCAAGAAAAAGAGTGTAAACACTTACGCCGTTGTGATCGATTCTGACTCATGTCACACAGAGCTTCCAACCATTGCTTACGATAGTCACGCGAACCCCAACCAAGTAGTTTGCATCTACTAACATGGCTCAGACTAGAAGTTAGTGACTTCGTGGACTGATGTCACGTTTTGGTTTGGCCGCCCCTAACTTTCTTCCAACCATCCCAAACACTAGTCAGCATTGCGCGTCGTGGTAATCAGTGTTCAGGCATATGTAACATGTAGCCCAACCATCTCAGTCGATGAAGATTTACAACCTCATCAACTGATTTATCATCATTCCCTAATATCCTGTCTGACTTCACTATTACTTACCCGGTGATCCCAAAAAACACAAGCAATGTTTCTAAGGCATGTTGTCAAATGCTAGCAAATTACGAGTATCATCTACCCTTAATGGCCAAGCTTCGCATCCGTAAAGTAGAACAGAACGATAAAGAAAGTGCCATAATACAAAAAAGTCTTATTAAATAAATAAACTTACTTAAACAAGTACTTGCCAAGATCATCATCTTTCGAAGGGAATTCACGTTTCTTATTTAATTTCAATCGAGATTCATTTAAATTAACTGGTTGTGTTGGTGTTACCACTGTTGAATTAGTAGTATTAATAGTAGTATAATCCATTATACGACAACGACTATCATTTAACCAAATATTTGAATTTAATCCACAACTTTCATGAAGATCTTGTAATCTATATTCAATATGTAAACAAAGACAACTTTATAGAAAGATGATTTAAGTATTATAATAATTATAATATAGAAAATTAATTTCCAGCTTAGCGATCTATATATAAAGAGCTTGTATGATGAGACTTGGCAGTTATGAGTTTATGTTGTAATGATCCAGAAAACTTCTCGCAAAAGACAAGAAAGGCTCAGGAAACAATAAGAAGCATTTTATCTTATCACCGTCTACTAGAAGTTTACCCAAAAACATCAAGAAAGTGAAAAGTCACATGTAGAGTTTCTAATTGGCTGATTACTATACTGCTACTATGTTTAGTAGCACTCCGGAATTTTCCGGAAACCCAAAGCCATCTGAAATACTATAAAAACCGTAGATTTTCTGTACAAAAACAAACCTTTGGAGTAAAGTGCTTCCCGTATATTTTGCGCCTTTTCCCTCGTGTTCAGATCGCTGTATAGTTCTAGCTTGGGGGTTACGAGAATAGCTTAGGAACCGAATATAGCGTTCAACTGACAAGATTTATCAGATTAATCTTGTATGGAGTTGTGAGTGTGTATATTTTATGAATCCATGAACTATAACTATGAGTACGCGAACGTGATGTGGTGAGATACCATTCTATTTCATAGGAAGTTATATATAAATGTATTCTAGAAGTGATTAATCCAAACGATCCCTGAGATTCAAGTAAATCATATATGACTTCTAAACAAATAATGAACTGCATAAAAGTATACTTTTATCAGCGAATTCCAATTGATGTTCTTCTAGGTTTTCTTAAAGATTTCTCATATCAACAAACAATTATGCAAATAGAAACCCCTTCCCTAAATATATATGACACAAATTTGAGTATTTTAAGACAACTAATACCCAGAAAATAGAGAAAAAAGAAAACGCCAGTTCGTAGAAATGAGAAATCGGAGTCATAGAACAGTAGATAACTTACTAAGTCTTAAAAATACAGAAATATATGAACCGTTAAAAGAAACCTATTGAGATCAATGTTACATATAAATAAACGCAATCAATTCACCCTCTTTTAAGGTAGATTGGAAGACGCAATATAGAAAGAAAACTGATGTAATATCATCTAGAAAGTAACCTATACCAACTGAGGTAACCACTATATTAGATAAAATGGGCCCCCATAAACTTATATACAAAAATAAACTATCAGTGAAACGACGAGTTAGGTTATTGCTAATACCAATACATTTAGACAATCAAGGACGTGAATTCAACTGAGAAAAACATCAAAATTCTGGATCGAGGAACTTTTAATGTTAGAAAATTTCAAGAAGCATAGTATTGAGGTCTATCGACAATCAGTTAGCAGATCAAAATCGAACCGATCTATCAACCCATAAGAAAAATTCAAACAACCACATTATCAGAGCTCAATCGAACACGAAAATTGACTTTAAAAAAAAGGCAAATGAGCAAAACGAAAACTACAAAAACAACCAACTGCAAAGAAGGACACCATACCGGGATGATTTAGCGTTTATGGAAGCTTACTACTAAACAAATTAAGTACTGGTGAAAGCTCTGCAATTGAACCAATTAGGTCATAGAATCACAATTGATTGATCACTGGGTGGCGATCAATGTCATGTGTATCTAGTCCTTATTAGTGCGAATCGAATGCTATCGACCAAGTTGAAACAACATCAAATTAGATGTATAACTCGAAGTCTATATACGAAGTGATAACAGAATTTTTCTTATTATTGTTATTGTCACTCACAAAATGAATAACTAATACACACATAACTAAAAATATACTTCTGTCATCATTGGAAAAAATGAGAAGGTGAAGATGGTAAATCGACTGATGAGGTTGTAAAACTTCATCAAGTCAAGTGGTTGGACATGTGCGACAAATATCCAAACTACTGATAACCTCGATGAGCGATGTTGTCTAGTATATAAGTGGTTTGGGAGAAAGTCGAGCGTGGCCAAACCAAGACATGGCATCAGCCCATAAAGACGCTGAACCGTGTGGGTTAGTGCAGACTACTTTATTGGGGTCTGCAAGATTATTATAGCCAATGGTTAGAGTTATTCATAATGGCATATATCCATTCACTTCTTGTCTTTCTTTGGAACCTGGGTCCTACAATCTCCTTATACTTTTTCTCCTTTTCTATACCTAATCTTTTCCACCACTACTGATGCTCTTTCAGCTTCTAGTAACATGGTATTTATCTTCAGAATTTCATCATGCTGTGCTAATATGGTATAGCAGCTTGAACTAATACACCTTTGTCAAATGAGGACAACAGATTGATTGAACAAAACTACTATTTTTTGATTTAACTTTAATAACTTTACTCAACCATGACACATGGCATATTTTATCAAGGTAACCAATTATTCATATGATTTTGCTCATTTTCTTCTATTCAGTTAGTACTTTACCTCAGCAAAACTTCGTTTATCTGTTATCATGTACATTTAAATGTAAAATAATCGAACAGTGAATGTAAACTATATTGATTACAGAACGGAGTTAGAGTACCACTGAAAATCAAGAAGTACTAAACAGCTGTTTCATCCCAGTCTGGAACACATAAATTGTCTGCACCGATGAATACACCAGGTATTGAATTTAGGACCTTCAAGTCCAACAGCAAACGCTTTACCATTAGAACCATCAGGTCAATGTATGAAGGTACAATTCCAATTTCAGTCAATTTGCGATATAGAGTGACCATCATCTAATATCATTAAAAATAGACATTTTACGGCAAGGTCGTAACTGAGCTCTGTTAAAGATTCAACGGATGTCTAATGTGTTTCCTGGTTTTGAATAGTATCAAAACTAAGATCAATCCATGACGGACACAACTAATAAATTAAACTGATCCCCCTCGCCTCAACTAGAGGCTGAATATTTTTTTATTTATGGAACTATACAACCAACTATTTGATAACAAATGAAATACCTCTGTATATTGTTCCGCTAATTTTATTAGAACACATAGATATTGGTACAAGGGGGCACCAGATATATATGCGCCACACAAATCTCATTTGATATGTGTGAGGGTGCCCAAACCGAAACAGATGGTTTTCTTAGGGGGCCACACCCAGAGCCTTCAACCTAAAGATCTGATCCATAAGGCAGTGGAGTATCGTAAAGAGATGCAGTCCTATGGTAGCCAGGGATCAATAATTAGTTCACACGTCATTTGTTCCCTCAGGATACTGGAGCCTATGTGCACCATTGGTTTGGAATCAGGGTTTTCCAACTCCTCTGCTAAAATACATCCGCATTTCTGCCGACCGTTAGATTAGGACAAAAAAACAGTAGGAAACTAACTCTTTGAACGTATTCCAAAATTCTTGTCGACTTTTTTTATTTGTAGTTAATAACCATGAATTCGACTTGTTAATACGATTATTTCTAATAATTTCATCTTCTATGAGATGACGATCATCGTCATCATGATTATCATCCATATCGTCATATGAATACGGATTGCCTATACGAGAATTCAACTGATACCTATTTGATGTAGGTTTTTTTAATTGATTCGATTTCTTTAAATCAGTTAATGAATATATTAATGGAGTAGTTTGTTTATAAGCGATAAAATTTCCATTATCCATTTGTGGTAATGATGATTGTGATTGTGTGAATGATGATGATAATGATGATGGTTGACGATGATGAATTGATTCGAATATGTTATTATCAACCATATTATTATGATGATCATCACTATGAGGAATCAATGAAGATGATTCAGAATTCGTTTGAATATCATCCATATTCACATATTCATTTGCTAATGCTTTATAATGATCCATTTGATTATAATAATTAGATGGAATAGATTTTTTATTGAATTCATTATTTGTATTTAATAATGGAAGACATGAATTCATTAATTGTATCATTAAATCAAGTTGTTGTAATCGTTGAACATGTTCATCATGATCAACAATAGAATTAGTTGTATTACCATGTAACAATCTAGTTTTATATGGTAAAACACCATGGTAATTATTAAATATTTCCAGAGCAGTCTACAAATTAACAAGAAAAGAAAAAGTTGTCATTCAACAAAATATTGTACAGGAATAGTCTGTAAACATTTGAATATAAGATCGTAGTTCAGTCAGTCAGTCAGCTACAATGTAGGAAAAAGCACATATATGTATTTGTTCAAGTTGTCATACCTCATTACCACAACAAGATTAACACCAAATTCATAGAAGTAGTCACTTCAATGGTAGTAATGTATAAAAGAAAGATTTCATATAAGGATATAGTACAGGAAGAAAGAATTAGTTGGTAGAAAGAAAGATAAGAAGCGATTTTAAGCTCATAGTTTAAGGGAAGAAAAAGAGTGTAAACACTTACGCCGTTGTGATCGATTCTGAGCCATGTCACACAGTCTCCAACCATCGGTTACGATAGTAACGTGGACGCTAACCAAGTAGACTGCATCTACCAACATGGCTCAGACTAGAAGTTAGTGACTTCGTGGGCTGATGCTTCATTTTAGTTTGGCCGCCCCTAACTAATTCAAAAGCTGTTTTTGATATACATTTGTTGATAGTGATTATATTTGATGTTTTTCATTGATTTATTTATCTAAAAACATAAAAATTGATACAAGGAGGTACTACATACAAACGCGCGAAACAGTTATCATTGATTTGTATGTGAGCTGTGATAGTGCATGAGTGCCCAAACCGAAACAGGTGGTTTGCTTAGGGGGTCACACACGGAGCCTTCGACCTAGATGTCTAATCCATAAGGCAGTGGAGCAACGTTAGAAGATGCAGTTTCATGGTAGTCGGTGACCAACAGTAGGTTCGAACTCCATTTGTTCCTTCAGTATCCTGCACCCCATGTGCACCACTGGTTTGGAATCAGGGTTTTCCAACTCCCCTAGGTGCATCCGCAATATTCACCAACCTGATTTAAAAGTCGAATATTCACTTTTCTTCCTCTCAGTTTCGCAATCAACACCCTTGCCGCGAGAAAACAGTGACTAGTACTTCCCCGGCAATGGTTGTGTACGTGTGGTCATGTGAGAGTATTTTTCGACGGAGAGCGGACTCTATCTACCCTCGGCCATATCAAAGCATTTGGAAGCTTTAAAGGTCAATATTGGATTTTAAAAAGATATTAAGACACTATATTAAATTTCGGATACACTAGATTTTTCCATCAATTTTGAATTATAAAAAATGTATCCAAGTGTATGCACACTTATGTACACAGATACGGAAACACAATTGAAATTACAGATATAATTACTAACCTGATATTGTGAACGTGCAATTAAACAATGAAATAATAAATTCTGTTGTCCAGTTTTCTCATAATATTCAAATAATACTTTTGCTTCCCAACTATTTAAACCTAAACTAATCAAATCACTTAAACGACCAGCTAAATAAATCAAGAAAGAAAAACCAAGGAAACAAAGAGATAAAATCGATCAATATAGTAAACATTTAAGGAGTACAAATAGAATTTCATAGTTTAAACCAAGAAGATATCTTAGTTAAATAATCATTAAAAACTAGGATGTACTGGGTAACTGTTTCATTGTAGTAGTACAGAACTTCTCAGCAGTGAGTACTCATGACTTCATTGAGGACCAAATCCAAGACTTTCGGATCTCGTGAAGAGCGCTAAATATTTAGACTACTGACTTGACATTTGGTGGTCGATGCGTGATGTAGACTATGGAACTTAGGGATTCCTGCAAAGTCCCTTATACTGAGAAACAGTATTACATTGATTGAAAACAACAACACGTAAAAAAAAGCCTATCGTTCCTGAATTATTATACGTGAAGATCTATATATTTTTTTTACTATTGATATTCACAATTTGCATCTGATCGGTTTATGTTAGCATAATAGGCTTATTAAGTGAAAATCTTGAATTAGTGATTATCATAACTCAGTAATCTAGATTATAAGTCTCTGAAGTTTGAAGTAATAGGTACAGCATTAGAATAGTAATATGAACGTCAACGGGTATATTCACTTAAAGCGTCCTACGAATGTATTGGACTTCAATGCTAGTTACTAATCAGAAAACATTTAAAACTGAAATAATTTATACACATTACATTATTGTCATATGAGAAACGTTTCGATGTCAACCTAGATATCATCATCAACGAAATTAACAGACATGATAACTGATATTACGTTTAATTAAACAAAAATGACAATATAAAACCACTTGGTATACACAAGCAAGTGGGTATCAGGACTCAGTAGCTAAATGGATAACGCAATGGCGTTCGGAGAGAACGGTTCTGGATTTGAATCCCTGAGTGAACATCAACTCTGAGATGCAGGTACATCCAGCTGAAGAAACGCGTATCCTGGACCCTAGTTTACAGACTGATAAACATCATCTCACCTTGTCTACATATTTCAGCTAATTGAATTAAAGAATTACGAGCTAATTTGTCAACGGAATTCAATACTTTTGTTGGTAAAGGTGTTTGGTTGTGTAAACGATTCATTTTATGAATTAAATTACGTAATTTTGACAAAGCCAAATATGGAGCACCAATAGGTTTCATGTTTAATTTATGATCACTATTATTATTCACAATGGTAGAATTAGTAGTAATCTTATTGAATAACTGTTGAAACGACAGTTGTACTTTCAAGTTGTTTGGATTGTAATCCAATGATGAAGAATTGTTATTATTATAATTGGTTAAATGTTTCAGTAAGTCATGAATTAAATCTCCTTGACCGTATTTCTTGAATAAATGTATGATTAAATTAGTTTGATTTGGAAAAAGATCGTTATGGATTTGATAGTATGATGGTATTGATGACTGTATTTCAGTAGAGTTCATAATGAAAGATATGATATCAGAGGATATGGACTCCTGGAATTAAGAATGGGAAAAAATGGATTCCTTTAAAAACAGAAGTGTATTATGTATTAGGTTATTTCAAACAATATAAATACAAGATGATGATAATATTGAAATCATTCGAAGGGTATGATTTAACTGTTCCACATGAAATCATCTATGCCCAGTACAAATCAATATCGAATGATACTAGAGGTATGATGGTGGTTATCACTCACAGATTGTTCACAATGTGAAATGATGCACCTTTTTGAAGGACTTGAAAAAGAAATCGGGTGAGGATCGGTCTTAACGACCTGGGAATGTGACTGCAGGACTAAAAGAACAGCTGCTCAAGGGCAGTCAAATAGTGTCTTTTTTATGAGTAGTGTTAGTGATGTGTCAGCTCTGTACTTTCTAAACCTTACCATGAACAATGGAAATCTATAGGACGATGTGGAGTATGCTATACTTTTAGGGCCGACCTTTCTTTACCTTCCCTTTTTAATGTGAAAAGGCAAAACCAATGAAGATGCCAAATGTATGAGAGAAACACGTTATTGATGTTATACTCTTGTAAAGTGAGATAAAAAAAAACTTCATCCTATGAACTTAGGTTTGTTACTTTTATTCTTACTACCCTGCAATCGACCAATCTACCATAGAGTGTCTGAAAGTGATTACCTTCATAGGTCTATTCACTACATCTTTCTTCCGATACTTCGAAATAAAAGATAGTTTAAGTAGAATTAAGAAATAATGATGTATGAAATGATATCTAGGATCCATTCAGTCATTCTAATTTCAGACGTCGATTGCAACAAAAACATTGATCAAAACGTTTATAGGGGTTGAGACAAAATAACCAAATATAATCAAAATAATGACTACTGATGCGAATTCGTTCACTTAGAATGAGGGTTACACATTAATTGAGGTTACTAAAAACAAAAGAGTCTATAACATCAAAATTAAGTGTACAGTGTTGAAAAATCTGTATATACTATTGACTGTTGGTTTTGAACAAACAATACATTCTATCATAAAACAACTAAACTATTCAATGATAAGCTTGCACATAACACGAGCTAACATACAAGTGGATTGTGAGAGTGCTAGGAATAGTGTCAAACGAAGGCGCAACAGTTGCCAGTGAAGTTACCTACAACTGAACGAAGCCCTGTTAGTAATTTTGAATTTCTTGATAAGAATATGCATGATAATCGCATTTTATGTAAATATAGACGCTGGATGAAATGGTCTGAAATTTCTCGCAATTATAGTTATAATTATTTTTCATTTTAGATTGATATCATGAATGGATCAATATTAGACCACCACTGGAAACTTGGAAGTACTGGACGGCCGCCTCGTCCTAGTATGGGATTCCCCAGTGGTGCGTACCTACGATCCCACACGCGGGATTCGAACCCAAGACCTTCGGTCTCGCGCGCCAATGGTTAACCTCTAGACCACTGTGAGCCGACATTCAACGGCGTTAATGTATAACTTGAACCAATCCACAATATTGTGTGACCGTCCACCATTGTCTTCGGTGAATAATTGTTTCACAACAGACACGGTCGATCTCCGCTGGTTAAGGCTTCTCACTAGAACTCCAAGAAGTCTGTCTTGAAGCCAGTTACTAGCGAGCCATCCAGTGCTTCCAGGTTTTAAATGATGGTCCAACATTGATCCATTCATTATATCAATCTAAACTTAACTATCTTCACAACCCTATACTGATATACTTCATTTATCAATAAATATTCAGTTTCATTTAGCTCATAATGTTTCATTTATTAATGGTAATTATTCATTTTGACCTAGATTTTTCATATTTTTACCTAACCATTTCGAAACCCGACCGAAGCTGTTACCTTGACGCGGTAGTTGGGCTTGCCTATCGTGATGACACAATCGAGCTATATTGGCTGGAACATATGTTCCTGTAAGTTCTACCATGCCAGGAAGGTCGATTGGAGAACGGTAAGCCTAAAAGCAACTCAAGGTCTGAGGGCGAAGTCGTACTGCTGACTGTAGAGGGGTGTGACAGCAGTAAAGTGTTTCCCTCGGACAACCAGCATCTGCAGCGATGCTGCCTTCCCACAAGGAGGGGTGGGGTTAGAAAAGGTCAACCCTAAAAATGTCACACCTCACCTTACCTCACGGATTTCCGTCTCCAGGGGTAAGGCCTTTTGAGGAACGAAGGACCTTAGAATCCCGCGCCATCGATGTGTGCCGCGTCTCCGAAACGCGCATACAGGATCCGAGTAGCATCATTCATCTGACCTCACCATGCCAAAATAAAGAACCGACTCGATTCACACTTCGTGTATTTGGAAGCCCTGATTCTGCTTCCCGTGGACTCGCCGGCGTAGGCATAGCATTGCGTCCTAGGGCAGAACTAGCTCTCTTAGAGTGGATCCCAGTAGACAGTCGTTTGTGCGCTGTCCGACTGAACAGAACAGTAAGGACCTGAAAAGATAGGGACACTCGTCGTTGCCTCTTCATCGTCTCTGCCTATTCTCCCACTGACTGCAGCGCAGATGATGTAAAAGATGAGTTTTACAGAAAGCTCTCCGACCTCCTCCTAAAAGCTAGGCGCTCGGATGAAGTAAAAGTGGCCGGTGACTTTAATGCTCAAGTAGGTAAACTAAGCGATAGGGAAAGACACCTGGGTGGATCTTATGGTGTCGTGGCTCAAAGAACAGATAATAGCGACCGTCTGTTGCAGCTATGCTCAGATAAGCGCCTCTTTCTTGCAAATACTAACTTTAAGCATAAGGAAAAACATCTTTTAACATGGCGACCCTCTAACTCGTCCCAACGTTGGACCCAAATAGATCACATCGCTATCAGCCACCGATGGAGGGGGGCTCGATAGAAGATTGTCACTCATTCTGGAGCACATGCTTAGATTCAGATCATGCTCTAGTGCGAGCGCGTATCTATCTGCGTCTTACTGGACGTAAGAAAGACGCCACGAGGAAACCTCTTAGGGCCCTACTTAATGATAGTCAAGCTAATAGTATATTTCAGGAACAACTAGGAAAACAGTAAGGCAGACATGTATGTGATGACCACCCCGAGGCAGCATGGAATGATATCCGTAAAGCTGTGGAAACAGCAGTGATATCTGCTAGTACGGTAACCCGTAAGGTTAGGGAACGACACTGGATCTCAGCAGCATCTATCGCACTGATAGATGCTCGAAAAATCATTCCACCTGGATCTCAACATAATGAACAGCGGAGTCAGCTTAAGCGCAAGCTGACAAGAAGTCTACCCAATGATCGTGAACAGTGGTGGGTAACGAAAGCAAAAGATGGAAAAAGCAGTGGCAATAAGTAATAGCAGACAACTGTTCAGACTTGTTAAGGAAACCGGTGTTAGGAACCCGACTGTTAGCGAAACAATCTCAGAGAAAGATAAACATATTATACATTTTCAATCCAGGAGATTAGATCGATGGGCAGAACACTTCAGGGATCAGTTCAACTGGCCTTCAGCCACAATTCGGTTTCCCACAATCTCCAGTCAACCTGAATGGCAAGTTAATTTAGGTCCACCGTCCCTTTACGAAGTTGAAAAAGCCATAGGAAATCTGAAGCGAGGGAGAGCAGCAGAACCTGACAGGTTTACTCCTGAGATTTTTAAGGATGGTGGTTCAGTATTAGCAATGAAATTAATCGAGGTCTTAGGTAGAATTTGGGAACTGGACGTAATCCCGTCTGACTGGTCTCAATCACTGATTGTGCCAGTCTATAAGAAAGGACAAAAGTCCTCTTGTGACAATCACAGAGGAATCAGTTTGACTAATATAGTGTCTAAAATATTAGCTTCAATAATACTTCGATGCCTATCTAAGGCTCGTGAAGAGCAGACTAGAGAAAATCAGGCAGGTTTTCGACCTGGACGTGGTTGTATAGATCAGATATTCACACTACGTCACGTTCTAGAACACAGACACACGTCCAGACGCATTACAATGGTAGTATTTCTTGACCTTAAGGCGACATTCGATTCTACTGATTGTGAGGTTCTATGGCAGTGTTTGTCACTGAAAAGAGTACCAAAGAAGTACATTAACCTTATACAGGCTCTCTACTCGAACACAACTGGTAGAGTGAGAGCTTATGGAAAACTGTCATCAGAATTGATTACCTCAAGTGGTGTTCGTCAGGGCTGTCCACTCTCTCCTTTCTTGTTCAACTTTGTCGTTGACGTAATTTAAGAGATAACACTTTCCTCATCGAAATTTACAGGGGTTGAACTTCTACCGGGAGGTTCACTTGTTGACTTAGAATATGCTGATGACAGTTTTATTTGGCGAAGACGCTGACAAAATGCAGAGTCTTCTGACTACTCTAAGCAACAATGCAAGCATGATCGGCATGCGATTCTCCCTCTCGAAATACAAAATGTTGCTTCAGGATTGGGTTGCATCGACACCCGAACTAATGATAGGGAATGAAGTAGTCAAGCGTGTCGACCGCTTCATTTATCTTGGAAGTCTCATCAGCCCTTGTGGTCTGGTGTGTGACGAAATCTCTGCACGGATACAGAAGGCTCGACTAGCTTTTTACAACTTGCGCTGTTTATGGCGTAGACGAGATAGCCGTATATCAACCAAAGGACGGGTTTATTGCACAGCAGTTCGTTCCGTCCTACTTTATGGTAGTGAAACAAGGCTGGTAAGAGTAGAGGATATTCGTAGGTCATTAGTATTTGATCATAAGTGTCTTCGAAATATTGCTCGTATATCCTGGGACCATCGAGTAAGTAATGCAGTTGTTAGGAAACGGGCACTAGGTAAAGATGGCAAATCAATTGATGAAGTAGTGAAACTTCATCAGTTGAGATGGCTGGGACACGTGTTACGTATGCCAACCACCGACTGCCCCGACGTGCGATGTTCAGTGATATAGGAGAAGGTTGGAAGAAATCTAGGGGCAGACAGACCAAAACATGGCACGAGTACATGAAGTCACTGACAAGTGGTCTGAGTCATGTTGATAGGTATAGACTACCTGGTTGGGGACCGTGAGATGATAGCAACCGATGGTTAGAGACTTTGAATGACATGGCTCAAAATCGTTTGTAATGGAGCAGGTGCATACACCCTTTGAGTTCTCCCAAATTTTGATCTCCTTATTTCTCCTTGTCTCTTTTTTTTCTCTTCTCAAATTTATTTCACTGTATTATATTCCTTAAATAACATCTCCAAAGACTAATCTTCCCGATTACTGCTTATACTCTTATTACCTCTACCACTACGGGATTTGAATCGACCACTGCATCTCTGTGCTAATGTGGTGTGGCAACTCGAACTGATGTACGTACGTACGAAGTTCTACGTTGTTACTGAGTGACCGTTTCAATGGATGTTTATATGTCAATTCCCCAACTTATTCATGTGTTCATTTCCTCTCAACGTCTTGATTTAGCAATGTGACAATTCCAATCAATAAACATCCGTATCAGATTCTACGTTGCTTATGCTTAATTATCTCGAAGAACGGGACTAGTATAAGATTCTATCTGTATTTCTAGTTGGTTGATTCAGATTCAAGGTCTTTATTGAAAAACTATTTACCTGCAATAGTCACTAGTATTAGGAACTCGTCGACATAACCGATATACACTACACCTTGTGACTATCTACTCTTTTTAAAAAATTCGAACTTTAAATCAACTCATTCACTAGGTAATTAAACATGAGTCCAGAACCAAAGTAGGTGTAGCCCCCAAATGCCCTAGAACAGCTGAGAGTGAGGAGGGTCAGCTCTCCCTTTCAAAATGCTCTCGCATGGCCGCGTGTATACAACTACTTCCAGGGAAGTCCTACTCATTGCCTTCTCGCCACTGGGGTGCTGTTTGTGAAGTAAAGAGGACGAAAAGCGAATGTTCAGCACTTTAACCGGGTAGTGGATACGGAGGATCCATGTAGGAGAGTTGGAATACCCTGATTCCAAACCAACGGTGCACATGGGCTCCACGACCCTGAAGGAAAAAGTGGTGTGTGAACCGATTATTTGTCACCAGCTACTATGGGACTGCATCCCCTCACGATACTCCACTGCCTTGTGGATCAGATCTCTAGGTCGAAGGCTCCGGGTGTGGCCCTCTAAGAAAACCACCTGTTTCGATTTGGGCACCCGTGCAGTATCACAGCTCTCACACAAATCGAATGACGAAGTATGGAGCATATCCATTTGGTGTTTCCTTGTACCAATGTTTATGTGTCTAAATAAATAGTAAATAAATAAACAGAACCAAAATAGGTGTGCCTCTTAATTGGTGTTTTTTATTATTCTATCTTAGGTTTCAGAAACAAGTGACATTGTTACTATCCAATATATATATATATATATATATATATATATATATATATATATATATATATATATATATATATATATATATATATATATATAAATCAAAGTGAATTTGAGGTGGTGGAGAAGATTTGTAACTAAGGTGGATGATTTTGATGGAGTTTTTTTCTCTGAGCTGGATGATTTAGTCGTGGAGCTTTCATCGTTCTTCTGAACTTTAAACTTCTATCTGAAGTTTGTGCTGATGATGTCGTTCAGAAAAACGATGAAAGCTCCACGACCAAACCATCCAGCTCAGAGAAGAAAACTCCATCAAAAAGTGAATTCAGTTAGCTCAACTACACTTCATCTTTCTAATCGATCTAAGTACACATTAAAGAAAGTCAAGATTACAGGCTAATAATAAACACAAAACATACAACAAATATACAAATTAATCATTAATACATGAATACAATTTTTTTTCATTTACTTGAAAATAACCTCGATCCATAAGCCAAAGTGATATAATTGTAGGGATAAGAGAATAAACTGAAGGGAATTCTTTGATAAATAAAGACATTACATAACGACACTATAGAAATTAAAAATAAAATAAAAAAAAATAATAATTAAGATATAAGTTAAACTGTTTGTACAAATTATTTTACATCTAAGAAAAATGAATTCTACCCGATATTTTTTTGTGCCTTTATTGCATAAAAAACCATATGGTGGCTTATTTGAATGCAGTGGTAAGGTGAAGTGTGTATTTTTAGAGTCGACCTTCTCTAACCCCAACCCACCTTTTGGGAAGGCAGCCTTGCTGTTATGCTGGTTGTCTGAAAAAAAAAACACCTTACTACCATCACACCTATGTACAGTCAGCAGTACGACTTCACCTTCGGACCTTAGGTTTGCTGCTTTTAGTCATACCGTTCTTCAGCCGACCTATCTGGCATGGTAGAACCTTGAGGAACAATTGTTCAAGCCAGTGTACCTCGATTGGTTCATCACGAAGTGTTCATCTTGCTGTGCTAATAAGGTATGACAACTTGGACAGATGAATATATGTGCCTAGTCCTACGTTGTAGTTGACTGACTGACTGATAGGTGTGTTGTTCAGCCAAATATCATATCATATTAAACAGAGAAACTAATTCATTACACTAACCAGTTGTAATGCACGTAAACTACTGGAATTTGTAGATTTGATATTATCAATTATTTGAGTAGTTTGAGTCTTCTCATTGCTCCTAACATTATTATTACTATTATTATTAACATCAGTATTATCTTCATCGATAGGACCGTTATAATGTTCATCATAATTTGATTGATGAAATAATGTTTCAGCTGCTGAATCACATAATATAAATCCAAGTATAATTAATCGTGATTTTTTAATTTGTCGATTATATGGTAATTGCCATAAAGCACATAATGATTGTAAATTTTTCGGTGGATAATTTAACCAATTTGGTAATTCATTATTATCTAATGAAGATTGATTTCGATTAGAATTTGTTGGTTTTAATGTAGCTGATGATGACGACGATGTTAAGTGTTCTTGTTCCTTCCAGATATCATGGACTTCATTATTAGTCAAATAATTATCAAATGTATGATTACTATTATTGAGATGCTTTGATGGTGCTTGAAGTGAAGAATAAAGAATATGGTCACTAATAGATGTTAATCGATTAATGTTACAGTCATTATTATTATTATTATTCATATCAAAATCAACAGGATGGTGCCGTGTACATCGTAATTCAGAAATTGTTTGAGTTAGCATTGATGAATTGTACGGTAAGAGAACTGTACTATTGATTCGATAAGATGAATCTGTAAAGAATTTACTGAAATAAAAATCATTAAAAAAAACATTAACTTGAAGTATACCACTGATATAGACTGTAAGATTAATTAAAGAGCGATATATATGAAAGATATCAGCTGATGTTATCATTGTTATTCTTGGTGTTACAACGATTTAAATAAAGAGAAACATGAAATTTAAATAAGTACACTTTAGTCAAGTGGTTATTAGATGATTGATAAGCATTATTTAAATAAAGATCATACAATTTTCTGCAGCGGAAGGGAAAAATAGTATTTAGGTGGAGTTCTGTTCTCTGAGCTGGATAGTTTGGTTTTGCAGCTTTCATTGTTATTCAGAATAACATCATCAGTAGCACAAACTTCAGATGGAAGTGAGGTGTTTGAATTTCTCCACATGTAACTCATAGCTTGTTCTGTAGACCTCGATCTTGATTGGTTATTGGTTGACAGAAAAAGCTATGAGTCATATGTGGAGAAATTCAAACACCTCACTTCCATCTGAAGTTTGTGCTGATGGTGTTATTCAGAAGAACAATGAAAGCTCTAAGATCAAACTGTTCAGCTTAGAGAAAAAAACTCCACCTGAGCTATAAAAAAACCGTCTACACCATCTCAGAAAAATGGTATCCTAGTCATTAATTATCAATATTTATTGATTTCTCTTTTAAATATCTCAGTTAAAGAAATTGGTAACTTTTCAAAGATCATGACGCAAACCACTTCTCTACAACATGCACCTTATAAATGGTCGTGACACAACCTTTGATAATGAAAGAAGGGGGGGTGTTATGAACAGAAGAATACAGGACAAAAAGTTACCTAATTTTTAATCAGTAATTATTAACAATTCATTGATATGATTTTCTTATTGCCTTAATCATTTAACTATTGGCATATCTTATTCCATTACGAATTTCCTATACCAGAAAGTTTTTCATTTTGTCAACTTTCGTAAAGAACTCGAAAATATCTCCTTGTCAATAGTTCATTTATTTTTCAAAATTAGTAGGAACTAAGACGGTGAGTAATAATTTGTCTATATCTGATGTTCAAAGTAGTCTGAGTACTAGGAGTTATTTATCAAGCTATATAAATGTAGATACAAATGGTTGATTGTTTTATTTATTTAAACACATAAATATTGGTACAGAGGGGCACCAAACACATATGCGCCACATAAGTAACTTTATTGGTATGTGAGTTATGATACTCATCCGGCGCCCGAACCGAGGAGGCCACACCTGGAGCCTTCGATCTGATCCACAAGTCAGTGGAGCATCGTAAGGAGATGTAGTCCCATGGTAGCCGGTGACCAACAATTGGTTCATATGCCATCTGTTCCTTCAGGATCCTGGAGCACATATGCACGATTGGTTTGGAATCAGGGTATTCCAACTCCCCTAAGTGGATCCTCCATATCCACTAACCCGGTTAGTGCCGGACATTCGCTTTTCATCCTTTCGGATAGTATAAATTAATGTCTAGATTTCTATCGGCCTAAAAATAATTAGGCATTCTAGTGCATGTTTATTTGACATAAAACTAGGTTGGATACTCTGTTGGACAGACGCTATCAGCAACAACCTACTGTGGGAGAAAGCAAATCAGATCCCAGCGGAGGAAGAAATCAGAAAGAAGCGCTGGAAGTGGATAAGACGCACATTGAGGAAAGCACCCAATCGCATCACAAGGTAAGCCCTCACATGGGATTTTCAAGGCCAAAGAAAAAGAGGAAGACCAAAGAACACATCACACCGAGAAATGGAAACAGACATGAGAAAAATAAACAAAAATTGAACAGAACTGGAAAAAAAGGCCCAGGACAGAATAGTTTGAAGAATGCTGGTCGGAGGCCTATGTTCCATTGGGAGTAACAGGTACACGTAAATAACTAAACAAGATTGGATACACATTGACAGATAACAATCCAATAGATGTTATCATAATACTGAACTATTGAAAATACAATGAAACATAAAAAAGAAAAACCAAAACTAACTTGTCATTGAATCTTTCATTTGCTTGTGGTAATAAACCTAAACGAAATAGAAACACTACAAGTTTTGCATAGGATAAATATGTTTTAATACTGAATTCTATAGGATGTTGTCTTGAAGTTAACGATAATTTAGTTGATAAATGAAATCGTCTAGGACTATTATTAATGGAATTGTTATTTTTCCCAATGAACCAATGTTTTGCCAATGTTGCCAATAGTTGAATCTAAATAAATATATAAGATACATAGATAAGTATAAAAGTGAGTATTTTACAAATCATAAGTATGTAGTAAACAGTCACTAAGTATATCAGTAGTAATAACTAATGATTTATTTATTATTTTATTTGAACACATAAATATTGGTACAAGAGGGCATCAAATATACATGCGCCACACTTTGCGTGAGCGTTGTGATACTGCCCGGGTGCCCAAACCGAAATATGTGGTTTTCTTAGAGGGCCACACCCGCAGCCTTTGACCTAAAGGTCTAACCCACAAAGCAGTGGACCATCGTGAGGAGATGCAGTCCCATTGTAGCCGGTGACCAAAAACTGGTTCATACGCCACTTGTTCCCGCAGGATACAGGAGACTGTGTGCACCATTGGTTTGGGATCCGGTTAAAGCGCCGGACACTATCTAATTCTTGACGACATTTGTAGTATATTGTTTATAATAAAAGTATTCAAAACTAATATTTCACACATATTTGTCAGCAAAAGAAAGAGGAACATTAAAAAGTGATCATTTTGCGCCTCTAAACAATAATTATTATACCTATTTCATGTTGATTACTAAGTTACTGTTATAACTTGTGGCCTATGTGCCATGTTAATGTATACGTAATGATACCGCCAATTAGAGAATCATCGATCGGATCAATGACGCATAAAACCCGAGCGAGCAGTCTAGAGTCCTTATCGGTCCTGCTTGCTCCCTAGCTCAGCCTGTTAAGTTCAGAACACCAATCTCAGCATCGACGATATGAATCATTTATTTCAAACATACTGGGATTTATATGCCGACCAAACAGACCACATCGTACTAAAAAATAGGAAACAACACTTGTACAAGAATTAGCCAAATATGGCTGTGAATGTGGGGGATAGTAATTGATAGACTGGGTATAAATCAAGAATAGTAAATTGTAAAACAATAGTTCATAGGTCAAAATAAAGCTCATAATAAGAGGGACATGAATATGAATAGTTTAGTTATTTAACAATTATACGATAAAAATATGCGCATAGTATTGGTCCATAAATGGATCCCAAAAGTTACCATTCATGATTATTATCGGGACATAACAGTTACTCATCATTAGTTGTTTGTTTTATTTCATTTGTTAATACACTAAACTTTGATGTTTAAGAAAGTATGGATCAGTTAAAATACGTCAATCAATAAGTTAAGATGAGGACGAATGCTGCTACAGGTATTTGAATGGACGAAACTTACCAGTAGTCCATACCATAGAGGACTATTTTTCGAGGGATGTGAAAAGTAAATTCGATGTGCAGTGAAAGCCTTGTCAGTCTGGGACTCTAATCACAGAATCACTCATAGGATAGGATGATGAATGCTATTAAATGAGACAGTTTTTTAATACGTCTATCAGTTGTATGAAAAACAGTTTTAATGAAGATGATGGTTATCCGTTAGAGCTATTTAGTCATCATACTCCAGTAAAAGAAGCAGCTCGAATTTGCCCTCAGACCAACTTACCTGAAACTATGAGAACCTAATGATCGAATGAATCAGATAATTTTATTACGTAAAACATACCCAGATTGTATTTATTCAGCTGGAGATCAAAGTCGGTAAGTAAAGCATGTTCTTTTGGAACAATCGTAAGAGGATGTAGTAAAATTTACTACTTTGGATATTAAGCGATTCTAAATAGTTGAGATGTTCTTGTACCTGAGTTGATATATATGTGTGTGCTATAATTAGTTCAACGAAAAATATTAATCTCCCTACCATGGAAACAATAATGTCCCATAGTAACATGAAGTGCAAACCCCAATGTTAGTGTAGTTCACAGGAGAGTTTGAGCGTATAGAGATGTAATGTAATGATTTACGCTGTTTATTAATCAAATCTAATAAAACATTGAGTTGATGGGGAAATCATCTACTAAGAAAGCTCAGAAAATCATTCAATAACAACATAAATTAATGCTAGTTTTTTCTTTCCAACCTATTCCTACTGTAGCCAATAGTATGCATCAAAGTCAGAAATGGTTGTGAAAACCTATTACATTCCTCATCTAACTTAAATGATCAAGAATCATAGTCAATAAGTCAGTTTTATTTAGTATTCTAACCCTAAACATCCACTTTGCTCACTAAATTGTTCTTAGGGTATCTTACAATAATTTTACAAAAGACTCAGAATAGAGAGAACAAAGCATCTGTTATCCGTTTTAGTGCTTTTTATTATATCTTTGATAGTATATGGTTGTATGTTTACTCCAATTGTATCAGAAGGGGTTTTGTGGGGATTGAAGTTAGACATTAACACCATTGGATGCCGGCTCAGTGGTCTAGTTGGTTAAGAGCCTGGCGCGAAACTGATAGGTCCTGGGTTCGGATCCCACGAGGCGGGGTCGTGGATGCGCTCTGCTGAGGAGTCCCACAACAGGACGAAACGGCCGTCCAGTGCTTCCAGGTTTTCAATGATGGTCCAGCTTCAATTGACTCATGATCTCAACTGTTGGAATTACTTCAATTGTACTCTTTAATACATACTTATCTGGTTTATTATTTTGCATTTATTTAATGAGTGTATAAAATTAATTGTTATGTCATTTCTTTGCACGATTATTATTTAACATCGTTGTAGCCTTAGAATACGCTGGTGGCATAGTCCCAAATGATGAAAGCGCTGACAAGATCTAAATTCATCCTATCTACTTGAGCAACACTCCAAGCATATTCGGAATGTTTCCTCCTCCTAAGTGAAAAATATTGTTTCAGGACTAGCCTGCGTCAGTGTTTGAATTAATGATAGGGAGTGAAGTAGTTGAGCGTATTGATCAATTCATTTATCTTGGAAGTCTCGTCAGCCCTCGTGGGTTGGCATCTGATGAGAACTCGGCACGGATTCAGAAAGGTCGGTCGGTTGGCGTCAGTCAACTTACCTCACCTCTGGAGTAGACGAGATTTTCACTTGCTATTTAAAATACAGGTATACTGTAAAGCAGTTCGCTTCGTTATACTTTATAGCTTTGAAATGAGACCTGTAAAAATATAGGATATTCGCAGAGTACTAGTATTTAGTTATAGGCTCTATCCAAGCATTGCCTCAATACGTTAGGACCCCCAAGTGAGCACTAATGAGGCTAGATGCAGAGTACGAGGTAAGAATGGTAAATTAGTTGACAAGATAGTGAATCTTTATCGACTGAAGTGGTTGGCGCACGTATTAAGTACCCTCGACCACTGCCTATCTAGATTCACAATGTCAGCTGATATATGAGTAGGATGGAGGAAGATTACGAAGGCATAAACGAAAATGTGACACTACGAATGATCCAAGTGATGTAGGTCGATGCAGAATACCTGGTTGCAGTCTGCTCGATAATCCCAACTAATGACTAGAAATTATGGGTGAAACGGTTCAGAATCATCCGCAGTGGCACAGCTGCATTAATTATTTGCCTTCCCAAAGATTCTAATTTTCCTTATTACGTCAAGATAAAGTTCTTTGTTACATACTTTCTTTGTGAATGTTATATCTTATGCCTAGTCTTTTTCATTACCGTTGATAATGTTTGTTATTTGTACTACTGTGTTATCTCAATATACTGATGTAGCGTGGAAACTTAACCCGGTGTATATATACATCGGGTTCTACTATGTGTATGACTGACTGACTCACTGACTTGTGTCCAATTTCTCGGTGTTCTAACTACTGTGACAAGAAATATACAATAAAATAAAATAACCTACTTGATTAATCGTACAGCCCAACTCTAAAAGATCGGGTATTCTTGAATGACCATGATCTGTTGAATTCGATAAAACTGATTCCACTTCATTTGATGACTTTGGCATAAATAGTACACTTGTCAATTTGTCGAAACGAGATTTCAATCTACAAAATCGTAGCCATATCCAACTATATTTGAAATTTAGATTGATTGGAGAATCTTGTCCAAGTGGAGATAAATTTTCCAAATTCTTAAGTGGGAGAAAGTATTTAATGGATGTAAATAAAAAAACTAAAATAAGATGGAATAAATAATCTCACTGCTATAACCAGGTGTCAAGTTATGTAACTCGGATGAAAAACGAACGAGTGTAAAGAAACGCAAAATAACCTTCAATTAAACTTCAGCTATTCTCCTTAGCATTACTGATCTAGCCCCTGAACAATTGGGGAAATGAAAGGACGCATAAATTTTTCCACCACTCCAAATGACGATGATATATATATATATATATATATATATATATATATATATATATATATATATATATATATATATATATGATAATTGGTGACAAGAACGATTGTCTACCAGGGTTTCCGATTTCCCTAAGATATTTGCTAATTAAAGGACGATGGAGTTATTTTAATAAAAATGGTTCTATTGGGAATTCGATAACAGCGGCTGCTACATAACACTTTAATAATTAGTCGCTAACACGGGAAGATAAAGTGCAAGAAAAACTTCGTATTTGAGCAGAACAACTTAAAATGGTAGAGCTCACTAGATATAGTACGAAAGCATGACCATGAAGCATAACGTTAATCAGTAAGCTAAGAGTAATGGGAACCAATCAGAAAATAGCAAAGATTATATGAAAAGATGAATTAGAAAAAAAGCGATTGTAGTAAACGTTACCAGCATGACTTTAGTATTCCTAAAAGAAAACTAAGTAATTCCATAATCGCCTTAACAACAACAAACACCGATGAACGATTCCAATGAGCTTTTCTTTGTTGGTGTTTAAAGAGGAAGGTACTTAGTTCGAGCTCATCTGTGAGCATCAATACTGGGATCTAGGTACATCGATCTGATTAGTACCAAATACAAGGAAACGTGCGTTCTGGACTCCAATATTAGCCAGTATCCAACTCAAATATCAATCTGACAGTTTTAAATTGGGATATATACCAGTAAATTTTAAACATCAAATTAATTCTCAACTACTAATATATGAACTCAATGGTAGTAAGAGTGTGATGAACAAACACTTGGGCGGCGACAAGCAACTTATTACTTACTATATAATTAGAGCTTCTTCGCAAATTGTGAAAACCATACATTAGATACTTCATTTGCAAATCTTCCATTAATTGTCTCAATCTTCATCGTTCCTTTATTGCCATGAAAATTACTCTCTGTTCCCATACTCTCCCATTCAACCTTGCAACCTTATGCTGCCAGGTGTTTCACTATATGATTGGCGTTACATAGTGTTGTTAGAAATCATTAAGGGTAGAAGATACTCGTAAGTTGATAGTATTTGACCACAGATGCCTTAGAAATATTGCTCGCATCTACTGAGATCACCGAGTAAGTGATAGTGAAGTCAGACACAGGATATTAGGGAATGATGAAAAATTAGTTGATTAGGTTGTAAATCTTCATCAACTGAGATGGTTGAGTTACATGTTACATATGCCTGAACACCGATTACCACGACGCGCAATGCTGACTAGTGTTTGGGATGGTTGGAAGAAAGTTAGGGGCGGCCAAACCAAAACGTGACATCAGTCCACGAACTCACTAACTTCTAGTCTTAGCCATGGTAGTAGATGCAGTCTACTTGGTTGGGGTTCGCGTGACTATCGTAAGCAATGGTTGGAAGCTCTGTGTGACATGGTTTAGAATCGATCACAATGAAGTCGGTGTAAACACTATTTGTCTTTCCTTAAACTATGAGATTGAAATTACTTTATACCTTTCTTTCTTATATTTCCTTCCTGTATTATATCCTCATACACGATCTTTCTTTTATATATTACAACCATTGAAGTGACTACTTCTATGAAATTGGTGTTTATCTTGCTGTGCTAATGAGGTACGGCAAATCCGACCGATGCATATATGTGCCCGATCCTACGTTGTGGCTGTCTGACTGGTGTTACATTACTACTTATGCCTGTCAATATAAGTAGCATATACCATAATAATAAGTTAAATAGACAAACTTACCTTTAATACATTAATACAACCATGTTCTAAAAGACAATTAGCTAATAATACCCAGCAAGGATCTAAAGAATATTGATATTTCTTTTTAAGTGTTTTTATTCCTTTACTATATAATGAATTGACTGATTGATCAATTCGACGATATTTACAATGACGTTTTGATGAAATACAATCATCATCATTATGATCATGATCATCATCCACAATAGTATTACTATTGAATTGTTCTGTTGTTAAATTATATAATAATTTATTTAAACTATCAATAATTGATTGATCATAATAATCACCAAGTGTTAAATGAATACCATAATCATTAATAGTAGTAGTATTATCAGTAGTATATTTATTCTTTATTAAAGTAGTATTTTGTGTAAAATTTAATAAGTTCATAAATTCTTCTTCATCATCAAATTGATCTAAACCTGGTGATTCAAGTAGACCATATTTCCATGCATTAGATAACCATTGAATAATATTAAATTTTTTATAATTTAATGATGATTTCTTTATAAATTGATTCAATTCTACAAGACATTCTTCTTGATATGATACAAACATAATTCGACTAAGATGATAGATACAATCATAATACTGATGAGTAGTATTAGTAGTATTATTAGTAGTAGTACGATGATGACGATGTTGTTGTGTAATAGAAAAGTTTAATATATTATTATTATTACTATAAGATATATCATTAGTCCAAAATATAAGACAATGAAATGATAATGAAGATGGACGTAGAAATATTTCAGGAATTGGACGTGGTCTTTTATAGTGATGATGATTATTGGTAGAATTTATATTTGAATTTATTAATATAGGATAAGATTGACAAAATTGTATTAAATTTGATTCACGTTTAACAATACGACTCCAAAATGACATTAAACTTGATTCAATTAAATAGGTGTGCTATGGGTCAAGAAAACAATCACACACACAAAAAAAATAATAATAAAGTAAAATAAAACGATCAAAATAATAAAACAGAAGTTCTACTTAAGTAGAATAGTAGTTGTCAGTGTGTTTCATCTACCGCATGTAACTGTATATCTGTGTTGATATCCATACTGTTGAGTCGGCTTTCGGAGAACTTCAACGGAACCTCCAGAGGCCCAAAAGGTGCCGAAGAGTCCTAGCCAATCAGAGCATGATGGAGCATTCTAGAATTCCAACGTGGTGTGCTACTATTGGTCAGTAGCATAATATGTCGTTAACGGATCGGCCGAAATATGATGTTGATTTAACAAACGTTAACCTCCATAAATACCCGTGTTTTCTACACAAAAACGAACCTTGGAGGAAAGTGTTTCTCTCATACTTGTGTCTTCTTTCTAGTGTTCAGGTCGCTGTATAGTTCTAGCGTACGAATTACCAGAATAGCTTAGGAACGAATATAGCGTCCGAATCAGCAAGACTTAACACATACAAAGACTCGAACCTAGAAGATTTCGTTCGAAATGTCAACGCATTGTTCACTAAGCTAATGAGTCCAAATAACCCTTAACTTGTACAAATCCTTATAAATATTGACTGAGAGATTTTTTATGAAAGTTGGTTTATATCATAGATTGATAAGAACGATGGGATTCAATAGAAATCAGGAAATAAAGCATAGTTATTTCGTATAAACTGTTACACAGCAGAACTACACCACTTTATGGTTCTCATACACCAGATTGTTTGGGGTGATCCAGAAATCGCTGGCAAAAGACAAGCAAGCATCAAGAAACACAAAGAAGTGTTTCGTCCAATCAGCGTTCATTTGGAGTCTTGGCCAGAAATATCAAGGTAGCGAAACGTCACATGCGGAAACTTTGATTGGTTGGCTACTACAGTGCTACTATGTTTGTTAGCATTCCAGAATATTCCAGCGACCCAAGGACATTTAGATATATTATAAAAACCCTATATTTCCTGTAATAAAATGAACTTTGGAGTGAAGTATTTTCCCTCATACTTGCGTCTTCTCTCTGGTGTTCAAGTCGCAGTGCAGTTCTAGCTTTCGGGGTACCAAAATAGCTTCGGAAACTAATATAGCGTTCAATCGATAAGATTTATCACAGATGAATAAGAAAAATACAACATATTTTGCCCAAATGCCCTGGTACGGTCGGAAATGGAAAGAGTCTGCTCTCCCTCTCCAAAATCCTCTCGCATGGCCACGTGCATACAACCATTGCCAGAGAACTCCTACTCACTGCCATCTCGCCACTGGGGTATTATTTACCAACTTGAGAGGACGAAAAGCGAATGTACAGCACTCTAACCACGTTGGTGGACACAGAGTCCATCTAGGGGAGTTGGAAAACCCTGATTCCAAAACAATGGTACATATGGGTTACAGTATCCTGAAGGAATAAATGGTGTATGAACCTATTGTTGGTCACTGGCCACCATGGGACTGCATCTCCTCACGATGCTCCACTGCCTTGTGGATCAGATCTCTAGGTCGAAGGCTCCGGGTGTGGCCCTCTAAGAAAACCACCTGTTTCGGTTTGAACACTCATGCAGTATACCAGCCCTCACACAAATCGAATGATTTATATGGCGCATATCTATTTGGTGCCTCCTTGTACCAATGTTTGTGTTTAAATAAATAATCGTTGAGTTTTGATTGAGATCATGAGTTGATCAATGTTAGACCACTATTGAAAACCTGGGAGCACTGGGCAGCAGTTAGGTCCTATTATATGACTCCTCACCAGTGCGCATACACGATTTCACACGTGAGACTCGAACCCAAGAGCGGCTTAGTGGTCAAGAGGTTAAGCGTTCGCGTGCGAGACCGAAATTCCTAGCTTCATGTTTGCAGTCAAAAAAAACATTTGAACTTACCAATAAGTGTACTTTTTGATTTGGAATTAATGCATCAAAAATAGAAACAAACGTGTCATCAGATCTACAATAAGGTAAGAAACATGCAGGTTTTCCTCTATAAATAACTATTTCCAAAGATGAAATAAATAATTAACAGATCTATTTATTTAAATAATTGAAATCTCAGAGTAAATAGGACTTAACACAGGATTGTTTCGCTCTCTGAGGTGATATTTAGTTTAATAGTGAAACTTTCACGATGAAGCAAACAAAACACCTTTTAAGTCCTCATCTTGAGTAACATATATTCTACACCATTTACATCATAAAAAATATAGCTCAGAATAGAATCACTTAGTGAACATATGTTTTAACTCTTCTGGTGTGTGTGTGTGTGTGTAATTTTGATACTAATTCAATGAGAGTACAGGTATTCGGCTCTGAACCACATTGTTTGCGAGAGGCAATTGTATTACTTGGCTGCCCAAACTGGGACAAATGGATTAGAGTGGGTTAAACTTGCAAAAAGTCAACTGTCTATAATTATGAACTTACTGTTCTATAAGTTCTTTCAAAGATACTGTACACACTAGTTTAAACAATCTAACTAGGCACATATGTGTGTGAAGCAAAAGAACTCATTTTGTGTTAATATTAAAAAAATAGCTTTACTATTCAACAATCTGTTTTGTGTCACTATAATGCGTGCTACTGATATCGATAGATATAAGTAGTATGCATCATCAATTGAAAGTGAAATGCCTGGAGGCAAAAGGTTAAGGTCGAAGAGGACGAGAACAGAGAGTGCATGGCGTTGAAACGAACGAACAGTCAAGTCTGAGACAACTAATCGACATTTTGCAAATGAAGTATTACTGTATGGTTCTTAGATTTTACTAAGAGATTTTGTAACGTTATGTTCAAAAACATTCGGTTGTCTCTGCTTGTGTTTTCATTCACTACTTCACTAATGTTGCAAATTATGACTAGTAAGACAATTATCGATACTTAATCAAAGAAGTCATTGGCTTTCACTAAGCAGTACAAACAAGAGTGGATATTGATCATGTGGGCATCTAAAATTTCTACACAATGACAGTAAACAAGTAGGTGGATTTGGGAATCCTTACCAAGTAAAAACATTGAGGTATGTTACAGTATGATTACCTGGATTCCAAATAAATCACTGGCTTTTAGTTTCAGTAACCAAGAAAAGTGTAAGGTTTTTTTGGATTGGAGGCCCTTAATATGTTGAAAATGGATGGTTAGAAAATCATGAACAATATAGCACAACCATATCAAATCCAATTACGGAATGTATAGTCTATCGTTTATACCATAGTTCATATTTAAATCAGTTTGTAATATAATGAGACGATCGTTCAGTGCTATCCGTTTCTAATGGGTCATGTGTCAAATAGCTACCTTCATTAGGGTTTTAGGAAATTCATCGATAAGCCGGTAATCGTCAGTGAGCTCACTACACGATAGAAATTATATTCAAGTCGAACCTGATTTGTTTATTCGACTCATTTTTACCAAGAACACATTTCTATACTCGGCATTCAGTATCACCCTGGACATGAAGGTTAAGTTATACTATTCGATCGCTCAAACTGAAGTAGGTGGAGTGATATTTAGTGGCCCGTGGATCTGACTCCATTTAGATCGTATGAATGTTTGTTATCACCTATCCTCGTATACAATTATCGACTTCAATCACGTTATTCAATAACGGAATTTAGATAAGTCAATTAACGAGAATGGCCCTTGAATATATATATTTTGTATGTAAAGTGAATGCGATAGAACAAAGCGAAATGATCCGCAGTGGAGATGGCTGGTAAGCGAACTCCATTTCTAGCCAGGCGTTACTCAATATTTATATGCAGACAAAATAAACTAGACATGTGATGAGACATGGGATATGAAGTGCACACACATATACGCTTATATAAAAACAGTCAAGACTGATAAGCAAATAATTAACAAGGTCAAAATATGACTCAAGTAGAATGAATAGATTGGGCTGTCCGAAAGTTAGAGTAAAGTATATGGGCTTAACATAATGACTGACACAACAATATTTGAAAGTTAGACCTAGAAGATGAAATTCGAACGCCTAAACCACTAAGCCTTTTACTCCACAAAGCTATCTAAGTAAGAACGACTTCACTACTGTGCAAACATACTTCATCTCATGTCTTTCTTAATCCATAATATGCACAATACATAATATTATCAAATTTCCTCAAATGTTACTACTGTTTATTCCCATACCTGATATAGGTTGGCATTTGTGCATGATACCATCGATCCAAATCAAACAGACCAATACGAATGACAGATTCGGAAAACCTCCATATGAAAGCAATTAAACGTATCATTCCTATAGAATGACTGATGACAGGATTATTATTATTATTGGGATGATGATAATTATTATTATCCATAATGAAATCACCCGGTGCATGAAGTGATTGAACAGAAAGTAATCTAGATGTGTATTGAGGTTTACTATCGTCAATTTTATCCCCAGATAATGTTGTAGATAAACGTTCTGCAATACCAATTAAGTCCTTTAAAATAATAAAAGAAGAGGTTTGTCATAATATAAGTAGAAATATTAGACTATAATAAGTGATTGACTTGCAGTCTTTTGACCACTCTAAGCAACAATGCAAGCATGTTCGAGATGCGATTCTCTCCATTCTCGAAATCCGAAATGTTGCTTCAGGATTGGGTTGCATCGACACCCGAACTAATGATAGGGAATGAAGTAGTCAAGCGTGTCGACCGCTTCATTTATCTTGGAAGTCTCATCAGCCCTTGTGGTCTGGTGTGTGACGAAATCTCAGCACGGATACAGAAGGCTCGACTAGCTTTTTACAACTAGCATTGTTTATGGCGTAGACTAGATAGCCGTCTATCAACTAAAGGACGGATTTACTGCGCAGCAGTTCGTTCCGTCCTATTTTCTGGCAGTGAAACATGGCCGGTAAGAGTAGAGGATATTCGTAGGTCACAGTTGTTAGGAAACGGGTATTAGGTAAGGATGAAAAGTCAATTGATGAAGTAGTGAGACCTCATCAGTTGAGATGGCTGGGACATGTGTTACGTATACCAACCACAGACTGCCCCGACGTGCGATGTTTCATGGTGTAGGAGTAGGTTGGAAGAAATCTAGGGGCAGCCAGACCAAAACATGGCACGAACCCATGAAGCTACTACTGACAAGTGGACTGAGCCATGTTGGTAGGTTTAGACTACCCAGTTGGGATCTGCGAGACGATGATAATTGATGGTTAAAGACTTTGAATGACATGGCTCAAAATCGTTTGCAATGGAGCAGGTGCATACACTCGTTCTGTTCTCCCAAATTCTAATCTTCTGAATTCTTCATGTCCTTTTCTTTTTTTCCCTTTTCAAATTTATTTCACTGGATTATACTCTTTAAATAACATCTCCAAATCTTAATATTTCCGATTACTGCTCATACTCTTACTACCTCTACCACTACGGGATTTGAATCGACCACTGCATCTCTGTGCTAATGTGGTGTGGCGACTCGAACTGATGTACGTACGTACGAAGTTCTACATTGTTACTGACTGACTTTCATAAACAGAATGATACAGTATTATCATCTTATTTATCTTCAACATAAAAAACAAACATACCATTTCATTCACAAAAGGACAATAAACAATTGAAATGATTAACATAGAGTTAATAAATTAAATAAATGTGTATCATTATTATGGATTATATTAGTTACCTGGTAATAGAAATTGAATTCTTTATGTTTATTTGAAAATAATTCATAACGACGTCTATAGGATAACTGGAATAATTTTACTGTTGGACTAAAAATTTTTATGAAAGAAAAAAATTTAGAAAAAAAAGAAAGTAAATTCAAGATTAATTCTATTCATTATAAGAAATTACTTATAACATGTAATGTAACATTAGGTGACTATCATTGATGCCCCCAAATGCTCTCAAATGGCCACGTGTATATAGCATCTGCCTGGGAAGTCCTACTCACTGCTTTGTCGTGGAGGGGGTGTTGTTTACGAAATTGAGATGACGAAAAGCGAATGTCCGGCGCTCTAACCGGGTTGGTGGACATGGAGAGTCCACCTAGGGGAGTTGGAAAACCCTGATTCCAAACCAGTGGTGTACATGGGCCCCAGTATCCTGAAGGAACAAATGGCGTATGAACCGATTATTGGTCACTAGCTACCATGGAACTACATCTCCTGACGATACTCCATTGCTTTGTGAATCTGACCTTTAGGTCGAGGGCTCCGAGTGTGGCTCCAAGCAGTATCACAGCCCTCGCACAAACCAAATGAGATTTGTGTGGTGTATATGTATTTGGTGCCTCCTTGTACCAATATCTATGTGTTAAAATAAATAAATAATTGATTACTGATTCATGAAAAATATGAAGATAGAATGGAACAACCTTATATTACACCCTTTACAGTTATCAATAAATAATGACTTAACTTTACAGTCTATGGGGTAAAACTTATCGGTACAAAGGAGCATCGAATTAAATATTCCCCACACAAGTCTATGATACTGCCCGGGTGCCCAAAACGAAGCAAGTGGTTTTCTTATGGAGGGTGTTATATCCTAATGAAGATTACATTGCCAGTAACGTCTGAGACTTATTAATGGACTATTATTATTCATATATTCTCATGTTATAAATATTCATTAACTAGATTATGTATATCTATATTCCCCTTGTTATAAGCTTTATTTCAACCTATAATTTATTATTGTACGATTTACGGTTCTTAAGCAATGTTCAGTTTATTGACCACTGCCTCCCACGTTCACAGGCACTTTTTGTCTTTATTGTGTACAAATGTTATTTCCTACTTTATGGTGCGTTGCGGTCTGTTTGGTTGATATATAAAACCCAGTATGTCTAAAATAAATTATTCGATTCGCATAGTGGAAGCTGGTACTGGTGTTCTGGACTAAAGTGAACGGGCTAGGCGAACATAGGACCAATAAGGGCTCTAGGCTGCTCATACCGATCGAACGTCATTGGTCTGGCACAGTGCTAAGATTGTATAAGTTGTATTTTTATTAATGGATAAATCACGTGATGAAAAGCTGGACATAAACTCACAACAGTGAGGGCAGACTCGGAGCCCTCGACCTAAAGGTCTGATCCACAAGGCAGTGAAACAACGTCAGGAGATACAGTCCCATGGTAGCTGGTGACCGAAAATTGGTTCATATGACATTTTTGTTCCCTCAGGATCCTGGAGCTAGCTCATATGCACCATTGGTTTGGAATTAGGGTTTTCCAACTCACCTAGGTGGATCCTCTATATTCACCAACCCGGTTAAAGCGTCAAACATTCGCTTTTCATCATCTCAATTTCGTAAACAACATCCTCGCCGTGAGTAGGCAGTGAGTAAGACTCCCCTGTTAGTGGCTGTATACATGTGACTATGTGAGCATTTCAAGAGGTAGAGCTGACTCTCCGCACTCTCGGTCGTGCCAGGGCGTTTGGGAGTCAAACTAACTTTATGGGTATTTCGACTTAATGATTTATTGTAAAAGTAAACAATTATGTCATTAATGAGATTTTATACAGAAAAAAAACATTGGTTTGCAAGTTAGAATACCGTCATATGTACTTACATCTGAACAACCGAAGTAATATCAGGCGAGACTATAATTTATGGACGAATCAATCAGATATAAGATAACGAGTCACAAATTTTGGCGCGAAATTCATCCATACATTTGCCTAAATAGAGTTTTGACATTATAGCTGATGTCAGTTCGTGATGAAAACCCTAAGTCTAATTTTTAATTCTAACCATCAACTGTAAGTGAGAATTCGAACTAATTAATACCCTCATTTAGTCCTGAGCAGTAGGCGTCCACTCAAGGTCACTTCAGTGTCGCTCAAAGGTCGTCCATAAATTATAGTCTCACTGTAATATCATCCGAAAAAGTGATCTTTGAAGTTAATTATGTGAAGCTATCCTTAGTTTAACTTTTCCTGAACCCCCAAAGAATCTACTACCGGTCTTAAACCTTCATAAAAAAGAAGGGCTGAGTGTAGGGTAGAAAACCACACAGAGTATAAAGAACATCGCTCGAAAATCGGACCAGTGAAAGCCAACTAAATTCTGTTTTGAGAGTCTAAGAGTATTTATATAAAAAAGTTCCGGCGCCTCAAAGTGAGGATCGGGTTTTAGAAAGCCATCACGACGATATCCTTTCTTACAAACAGGAAAACAATAAACATACGGACATGGAATGCCTAAACTGGAAGATCATTCATATAGACACATGAATGAGATAATACAATCTGGCTCTGTTTGGAATACTTGAGACTGACTGCACTAACTTCAGCAGAGATGTTATCGCATTCTGATTCTGCAGAATAAGATGCCCTACACACAAGCAGTCGAACTGATGCTGTCGACAGAAGCACGTTAAGCGCTTATAGAATGGGAAACCGAGTAGTCAATGATCATCAAAGCATCTTTCAAAACAAAGAACAGAAGGATTTAGTGAGTATCATTCAATGCTATGTGTCTTCAAGATCAATTAAAAAACGAGAGAAAGAGCATAGAAAGTTGTCCACATTCATATTTCAACCAAATTAACGCCAATATTACAAGCTCGTGTTACTAAGTTGAATTACCTATAGACAACTTTGAATCAGACGATGGTATTCATCATTTTCATACATATCACATTCTAGAATCATTTATTATCATTTCAAACACTTTTTTAAAAAATGCACAAACTACGATGCTTCTTGGAATATCCCAATACATTAATTTCTTTAAAAACCAAATTTACCTTTGGAAGTTTCCTGCGGAATCCTGTTTCCCAGTAAATCTAAACACACCATCACTTTCAGTTTCTTGTTTTGATTGCCAACCAACCCAAATAAAACAACAAAATCGTGGATCATCCGAAGGTTCTAGAAAGTTGAAACTAACCACAGGAGTAGCTGGAGTAGCTTGTCGCAAACAAAATCTAAAACAGAAAGAAAATGGTATAGATTATAACTCTCCAATTCTAATTATGTAATTATTTATTTAAACACATGAAAACTGGTACAAGGGGGCACCAAATACATACGCGCCACGCAGTTATCATTGACTTGTGTGGGGGCTATGATACTACCCGAGTGCCTGAACCGAAGCAGATGGACCACTCCCCGAGTCTTTAACCTAAATATCTAAACCATAAGAAAGTGGAGTAACGTTAGGAGACGCAGTCTCATATGTGAAAACTGTTGACACTGTATAGTTTTCGAAACTAAATTAAATCGAGTAAGGTTTTGACTTTTAGACGCGGTGGTTGAATGCTGTGACCATCACCCCATTATCCTTTGCAGTTAACAAAGTAAAGAATGGCAGCGTGAAAGTGAGAGAATCCTGGAAACATTTTTAGATATGCAACATATAATCAGATATGTCCGATGGAAGCTATTTCCGGAATAAAAATCAAGATGTCTTTAGGCCATATCGAACTAAATCATTACTGAATGTAAGTAAAAATCCGAAAGCAGTAAAAATAGTGTGAGGAAATTCAAAACTGGACAATGTAAACAGCCTACGTCGTAATCATCTTATGGATTCCTAAAGAGCACTACATATTGCTTTATGTTTTTCGAATTAAATTTGATATCAAACAACTTGATTTAGCCTCTTTCAGGTCTGAGATTAAAGCTGTTTGGTAGTTGAAACCCGTCCCTTCCCCCGAAATGTTTAGAGTTGTGAATAAGGAACGCAAACCTCATAAAACAATGAATTTGCACGAAACAATGGCTAACTAAATGCTCACTTAAGTGTAGACAATGAAACAAATAATGCAACTCAATAAATTTGAGCACAAAACCATTTACTGAACTTTGGGTTATATAAATATTGATTACCAGTTACAGATACTATTTATTTATTTAACCACACAAACTTTCCTGGCAGCGGTTGTATGCACGTGGTCATGAGAGAGGATTCGGAGAGGGAGAACTGACTCTCCCCACTCTCGGCTGTACCAGGGCATTTGAGGGCTACAGATACTACGTAATTACACAAACCAACATGGGTGAAATGCATCAGTTAACTGACCACCCAATAATTGAAAGTCAATTAACGATTAAATACAAAAACCACTCTATAGACAGAAAGATATGTTTTTCATATACCTATCAAAAGATCGTTTATAACTATTATTTAGCTTTATAATACAAGTTGTATCATTTCAAATTTTGAAAATAGTCATTGCAAAAGATAAGGCATAATTGAGGTTAAGTTTACATCTTTGTAAAAAAAAAAGAAATTGACACAACGCTTACTCCATATTCAGTCGATCTAATGACCATAATTGCCAACCACCAAAACTGAAGCCGACAGCAAGACCTTGAAGTTGTGGAATATAACTTAAGGCTGACACGTAGACACCAGCTATAATTAATAATAATAATGAAACAGATTAAAATTTGAAGTTTTTGCTTCTGTAAAGATTTGTAACCTAGTAAATGTGATATAGTAAAACTTTGTATCCATTTACAAGCATATGTGTACTCAGTAGATTTGAGTCACATACTTTTTGTAAGGATGATCGATACTAACCAAATCTTCAGAATGAAATGGGCAGCATCCCGACCCATGTATTCAAGTTTTTTAAGTTACATTTTTGTAAGAGGGCTTTGATTTCATTTAACTGTTCAAACTAAACTAGACAGAGGGAAATTCGAATCTGCGACAATGTTTGAAAGTTAAGTGTTCCGATGATTAATCCATAGCTTCATTGTGTAAGAATACGTTAAACAAAACATGATCATATGAAACAATATGTAATAAGAAATTTACATACACAGAGATATAAACAAAAAAAACATACCAGATGGGATTGAAGATAATGTTTTACCACTGACAGATTTATATGTAAAATCATTCCATCGAAGAACTGAGGCTGAGTGAAATATATATAAAAAGATTACTGAATATCACTTCAAATAATTAAATGATTAGCACAATAATGAATAAAAATTCACAAATGAGCAGTGCCATCCAAGCTGTAAAACATTTCGCCCTCCAAATACCTTGGTACAGTCGAGAGTGGGGAAAGTCAGCTCTCTATCTCCTAATGCTCTCACATAGCCACGTACATGCAGCCATTGTCAGGGAATTTCTACTCACTGCCTTCTCGTCACTGGGGTGTTGTTTACAAAACTGAGAGAACGAAAAATGAATATCCAATGCTTTAACCGGGTTGGTGGGCACGGAGTATCTACCTAGGAGATTTGGAAAACCCCGATCCCAAAACAATGGTGCGCATGGGTTTCAGGGTTCTGAAGTAACAAATGGCGTACGAACCATTTATTGGTCACCGATTACCATGGGACTGTAACTCCTGACGTTGCTCCACTGCCTTGAGGATCGAACCTTCAGGTCGAAGGCTCAGGATGTGGCCCCCTAAGAAAACCACCTGATTCGGTTTGAACACCCGGGCAGTATCACAGCTCTCACACAAACCAAATGAGATCTGTGTGGCGCATAACTATTTGGTGTCTCCTTGTACCAATATCTATATGTTAAAATAAAATAAAAAATGGAACCAGTTAACTCAATCAAAAGAACCAAACAATATATAAAAAAATCTCCCGACAAAATAAATATCCTAAAGTAACCAATTTGTTAAAGTAGTTTATATATTGTCAAGTAGATTTTAAAACATTGTTTCAACCTTTAAAAAAAGGATTACTTCAATTTACCGTCAAGATATACTAGTGAGTGTTCTATATTATCATTAGATGGTTGAGATATTGGTTGTTTACAAGAAAAACAATTTAAACAATGTGATCTTTCAACTGCAATTGATGTCTCAGGTATATCATTTAATAAATCATCACGAGTATGTGTTAGACACATATCTGTACAAGAAAAAAAAAGAAAACAAGTAGTCAACCATACATATATATAGATAGATATTTACAAGTTAAAACCTCTGGTTACTAAATGATTATTCAACCACAAATCAGTGGAATAGATTTCAGCTGTTAGTCAGTGATAACTAACAAAGAGGTTGCACTAAATCTAAATGACTGTAAATATCGTCTACCAAATTTCGGAATGCATGAACTGTGCATGGTAAACTTCATTGTTAGTCAAATATCATTATTTGATTAAAAGGCGATTATAAACATGATAATGTTTTTTTTTATAGTAAAATCATAAATATGTATTTCTTGTAGGTATAATGCTGATATTTTTAATACACATAAGTAGCCATAATAACTTCAACAAATAAACGCCCACAATCAAAAAATAGGGAATACAAAGCATCATGCCAACTTTAATAAACCATATAATGAAAACGAAGAGGACACTATCACGAAACAGTTTTACTTCAAAACTTACATCATCATCTGAGGTGATTATCAAGACTGAAGTGTGTTAAGTGTACATGCCACTTCATTTATTGTAGACGTCTCGACAACCATGGATTGCCTGACAAAATCTCGACATCAACTCAAAAACACCCCCAGGATTTTGCCAAATGTAGTCACTTATCAGGTATTTAAAATGTCCATTCGACAACCAGAAGGCGAATATTCTGATAAGTTACCCAATTTATACTACTCAACGGCTAAGAAACATCGTCCATTAAAATACAGAGCAAGCGTACACCGCAGGAGTTTTTTCATAAATGTGTTCCAAAAATTGCTGGTGTACGATATGTCACGTGTCCTAACCATACCCCCCACACATATGCATATTGTCATCTATTACTACAGATACTATGACTACTAATACTACTACTCGGTGATTTGCCCTGATAGTTTCATCTCAATGAGCTAATGGAGTATGGCAACTAGAACCAATGTACACTCCATGAGTAATGTAGCATTAACCGGAACAATACAAAGTAGCGATCTACAAAGCCATGAACTATTGCTCTAGACGATATTGGTAGCTGCAGATTACCTGGTTGGGCTAACGCACATTTGTATTAGTCAGCTAGTCATACAAAATGAAGAATCTGGTTCGTATGAGCAACGGTTGAGGGTAAAAAGCCACATCAACACGGCGATGCCAGAATAGTGTAAGTAGTAGCAGTAACTGTGGTAGTAGAAAAGATTAGGCACAAACAATATGATTCGAGAAAAAACAATGACTTAAAAGCACCGGGTCGTTTCGTCCTAGTATGAGACTTCTCAGTAGTGCGCATCCACGACGCCGCACCTAGGATCCAAACCCAGGACCTTCAGTCGCGTGTGCAAACACTTGACCTCTAAACTACTGAGTAAGAATCCAATAGTGTACAAGTCTAAGGTCAATCATGTCTCTAAAACATAAACAAATATATACTCACCCAGTAAACCTACAAGCCCTTGCTGAAAACCGAGAGCGAAACAACCATCAAAAATTGATAAAACGGAGCTTAAAGTTTTGTTTGTTCCTTTGGAAATATCTTGATCCGTAATATCCATAGTAGAGTTCATTGAGTGCGATTCCGATGGCCTACATCCTATATCGATAAGAGGCAACCACTCCAGTGAGGTTAGTGCTCCATTTACTAAAATAGTTATGTTACATTTTGCTGTACTCAATGAGCGAAAAAAACAGACAAGTGAACGATTCTGGTTGATATTTACAAGAACTGCTGCTAGAGATTGCCTTGCCGTAGTTGAAGTATTTACAAACATAACTTTACTAATATGCCAATTGTACAAATCATCAGGAGAGTCTGATACATTATCCAATAAATATTTTAAATCTAAAATAGGTATCCATGTAAATTGATGTGACCAATTTGGACTGTCACGAAAACATTCAAGTTTGTGTATATCGTATAGACATACAGTTGCTGAAGATGAACTGAAGACGATTTGCGTTGTATTCCTCAACGATATATCGGTCTTGAATTTTGAGAAACTAACTGAACCCAAAGGTTCTAAATATGTCGGTTGCATATTGGTAGATTTAGTTGGTCAGCTGCAAAGTAAATAGTAAGAAAAGCAATGACAATACTCTTTCTAAGAAAAATAGAACTATATTTTAAGAGAATACATTCATAAACTTATTAGGAATATGTTGACAACGAATGTTTGATATCAATCCTAAAAACGAGTATATTAGCAACATCGAGATTCACTACTGGTGTCATTTGATTATGGAGATACCTGTTATATAGATGTACATGACTGATGGGATTATTTCAACATAATCCGAACTCCTAACTAAACATAACCACCGGTTTTTATATGATAACTCTCCCAAATTCTAATCTTCTGAATGCTTCATGTCCTTTTCTATTTTTTCTCTTTCCAAATTTATTTCACTGAATTATACTCTTTAAATAACATCTCCAAACCCTAATCTTCCCGATCACTGCTTACACTCTTGCTACCTCTACCATTACGGGATTTGGATCGACAACTGCATCTCTGTGTTAAGCTGGTGTGGCAACTGGAACTGATGTACGTACGTACAAAGTTCTACGTTGTTACTGACTGACTGACTCAGTTCGTTTCATATTAATGTTAAAAAAAGACAGTGAGAAACGCTGAGAAAAATCGATCAGTATCCCACAATCACTGGATGATGCTTATGATGGACATAATACTAACCACACCAGAAGTCACACTAGTTCATGACGATACTAGTGACCTGGTTAGGACGTAACTTAAGTGGGTGTAGCATATACTACGCTGATCTGCCTCTATAAACACCTATGGATAATTACGGTCAACTAAACTAAACAATTAGTATTGAAATTGAATTATGACAGTAGAGAAGTGATAAACAAAGTTACTCGATAGCAACAACCGGCTACAAGTATTCGACATTCAAAGAGGACATCAGTCCGGTTTTTGAAACTCCACGAAGGTCAGTCCTATATCCAATATCGGATTCAGATTTGCGAAGTAAGGAAAGAAGACCTACGGTCTAGGTTATTCTTTTTCTTGTGTGCTTCTGTGAGTTTCTGGTCTTTTATTGAATGAGTCGACTGGAGGCGTCGACATCACTGCTTCATGTAACAGGTTCCACGAATTCTTCAGTCTTCAGTAATAAGGATAGGAGGTCTGTCGACCTATATTAATCCTTGCAGTTTGTAATACTGTGGTGGTCCAATCTTGTTTTGAATATGTTAACAGACGGTGCTGATATTACGTGTTCTGGTAGAGAATCACAGTAATTCACTACTCGGTGCGAGAAACGGAAGTCCAGATGTAAACGGTTTGATCTCGGTTTTTGAACTTTCTTCGAATGTCCTCTCAAATGATCGGTTCTATACGGAAGCAAAAGATAAGACATGTTAATATTAAGGTCATCGTTCAGTATACGATAGACCAATATTAGATCACCCCTTATTCTACGGTAAGATAACGGAAATAAGTTAGGGTGTATCAGTCTGTCTTCATAAGATAGGCCAGATAAACCTTGTACCATCTTAGTAGCTCGTCGTTGGACTCTTTCTAGCATATCTGCTTCATATTTGAAACAAGGAGACGCTGCTTGAATCCCGTATTCTAAATGTGGTCGCACATAAATCGGGTATAGTAATCTAAACATTTCATCATCTAAATACTGGAAAGACTTAAGAATTGACCATAATAACCTATAGCCTTTCGCAGCAGCAGCCTTACAGTGACTAGTCGTTTTGAGATCATTGCTTAATATGACTCCTAAATCTTTATAGTTTTTTACTTTGGGTAGAACGAATCCACGTAATCTATAGTCATACGATTCATCAGAGTTATTTAACTCCATCACTACACTCTTATTAGGATTCACTTCTAGTGATTACCTATCTAACCATGCCACCAATGAGCTAAGATCGTCCTGCATTACTATTCTATCCGACATACTATGTATGGTTCTCCAAATCACGGTACCAGGTATGGTATGAACGGGGATGTAATTAGTCTAAAATTGCCTTTAAATACAGACCATGATTCTTCAACTGATATACTAGTATCTACTGACCAATTTGTCTTAGCAGAGCATTCCTGAATAGCTGATATGTTAGATTTCCATACATTTGGGCGAGGTGTAACCTGGTCGTATAAAATGTCCCTAGTTCGAAACGCGAATAACAAAACAGCGTGGTCGCTGTTCACTAACGGTGGGATAATATTTAAGTCGACAATATCCTCAGTCTCATGAGTGATTACCAAATCCAGCAGAGAAGAACCCTGGTTAATACCAAAACGTGTGGGTTGAGATATATGCTGCACTAGTTCATGCTCCATTATTGTTATCAGGAACCTAATATCAAAGGCGTTTATAGATCCTTCCGTGGTCATATCAGTCCAAAGAATATCAGGTGCGTTGAAGTTTCTTGATATCAAGCATCTTTTATTTGATGACCCGGTGTGAAAACCTGTATGCCACGAGTATTTTGTTCGTTCTTGGCTTGTCTTCTCGTCTACTATGTCCTTTGGGTTGTCCCGATCTGGTAGGGAAAAAGAGAGATAGAAAGTATATTGAGTTCAGAATCATTTCTTAACATGTCATACATCTTTAAACTTCTTTTCACCCGAACAGCACGGTTACAGGAAGGGTCATTCTTCTATAACCAACCTACTGACTGCGATGGACAGATGGACAACCATCCTTGATCGCAAGGCGAAGATTGACGTCATATACCTTGACTTCTCAAAAGCTTTTGGTGGGGTCAACCATATATATCTTATCAATAAGCTCAAACGATTAGGTATCAAACCACCTTTAATTGATTGACCAACTTCTTATCTAAAAAATCAACATTTGAAGATCAGGGTTAACTTCGATTCCTCTCAGGCTGTGGGATGTTCTAATAGGGTCTTTCAGGGTTCAGTACTAGGACCTTTTCTTTGATTGATTTACATAAACGGTCTTCCACAACAGGTAACGTCAGACTTATCGCTTTTTACTGATGATGCAAAACTTTGAAAAGAGATAAGCAACCAAGAGGAAAAACTGTCACCTCATTGGGATCTGACCAGACTTCAAAGTTTGGCAGATGACAAAGGACTGACCTTTAACACTTCAAAGTGTAAAGTGGTCCGTCTGAGACGTGTTGCAGACTACAGCTACAATTTAGGCAACTCCTGTGTAGAAGTATCCCAAGTTGTAAAAGATTTAGGAGTGCTGGTACTCTACGATTTAAAGTCTTAGGCTAACTGCCACGAAAATACCTTTCGAGCAAACCTTGCCCTGGTAACATTGGAGCGCATTCTTGGCCAGTTTGACGGAAGAACTTTCCACATAATCTTCAATAGTTTTATTCGTCCTCACTTAGAGTACGGAAACATAGTATTTCCTCCCTTACTCCATAAGAATAAAGACATTCTGTAAAGTATCCAACGGAGAACCATGAAACCAGTTAGTGGAATCAAGTTCAAGTCTGATGAAGAGCGCCCTTATTCACTCAACCTTTGCCCATTAGAGTAAAGACGTCACAGGATAGACAGACATTATCCTCACTGCGAAACATTTGATTGAGATTGGTCGTAAGATTAAAATCAAGTCAGCATTTGTAGCGTTATAGAAAGGCCTTCAAGCACGTATACTAAGGCTTATTGGAGCATTGACTATACGGAAATTGACACCCCCTTTATGTGTTCAAAAACAATTTGTCCTTACACAACCTACCCTGTAAATACTGATTTAGTATCCAGAATGGTAATCACATTTGTTTCTGTGTACTTTAATATTATTATTTTTTTCTTTGTTATAGCTTACCTTTAACCCGTCTAGTTGACCTTTTTTTATTTTCATACATAAATGTTCTTAAAAAGTATATGTGTGATCAGATTGTTCGAAATGTATTGCGCAAATATATCACACAATTCTGATAAACTTTGTCTTCTCATTGCATTATCGAAACTTACCAAAGGGAGTAATTGTTTCAAATCTCTGAAAAGGAGACTTGCTACGCAAATTATTAAAAAAGTGAGATAAATCTGCTAACATCAAGTGGAAAATTATATCAGAACGAATGAAACTGGATTTTTATAAATCCTGTTTATCTAATCAAATATTCCCGAATTAGTTATATAAGAATCTTTGTTTAAGTAAATTACAACCAAATATTCCAAATCTTATTCGACTGACGAAATCGTACATAGACAAGTGCCGTGTTAAGTTGCTCAATTTAACTGAACTTCAAACTCAAACATTACCTGTATTAACAGAATTGTCTATAGTTTGCCATATCAAATTCATCAATTTTTGTAGTACTACCATTTTGAAAACAAAACAAGGGATAAGAAAAACGCTGGAAAAATGTTGCTGTAGTAAAAATAATCATCTCACTTACTTCCCAATCAATCCTGATAAATATGTCAATAATTTGTATTCCATTGTATTATCTGTTCATAAAATGGAGGCACTTTATTTGGATTAAACTTTTTGTGTTCCTATAACATAAATCTCTGAATTGACAATCAATGCCCAATTTGAAAATCTGTGTGATCAATTGAATATTTTAGCCCCTTTGTCCTTAGAGAATTAAAGTTGGTTTGAAACCGAACTAGTGGATACAGCGCATCTGTTTCATTCTTCTAGACCAAAGCAGAGGAGCATAGTAACTCCTCATCACTTAAACCCAATTAAGGATCTGGTATTGTTATTATGAACAAGTCCGATTACAGAAATAAAACGGAATCCATTCTCAGTTATAAAAGCAGATTTATGGCTGATGTTGACTCCGATGGATTATGTAAATTAGAAAAGAAAGTAAACTATTATCTTGTTAAATTGTTAAGCATGAATGCTATTAACGAAGATGAGTTTAATTTGTTAAAACCTATGGATTCGTCGTATCCTGATTTATATGGATTACCAAAACTTCATAAGCCTTATACACCACCTACGTCCAATTCTATCAATGTGTCGTTCACCTAAATACAACCTTGCAAAATGGTTTACAAAAGTATTAAACCCTATCCGAAATCAATACTGTAAATATTTTTCGACTGACTCATTTGAATTAATTAGGTACTTAAAGGACATAAATATAGAGACAGAGACAATGTGCTCCTTTGAAGTAAACACTTTATTTACAAATGTACCTCTCAGGAAAACTATTGATATTTTGTGTGACTATATCTTTTTGAATAACCTTCCACTGCCACTTCTTGTTACCACTTAAAGATTTATTATTATCGTGTACAGATAATGTAAAATTCACATTTGAAGATGAGCACTTCCGACAAGTAGACGGTGTAGCTACGGGTGGCCCCTCAGGACCACTGCTGACTGATGTGTTCATGGGACATGTTGAAAATTTTGTTGAAGACTCAATTCAAATGATGGGCCTGCATAAACGGCATGTTGATGATACAATAATAACAGGGGATAAAGGTGAAGACATAAATCGCTTGTTAGAAGAATTCAATACATGTAGGTGTTTAAGGAAATGTTCAGAAGTGTTGAGCATACTATAAACCATCAGAAGCTCACCTCTAAGACGTCTATACTCTAATGGGCAAAAGTTGAGTGAATAAGGGCGCTCTTCATCAGACTTGAACTTGATTCCACTAACTGGTTTCATGGTTCTCCGTTGGATACTTTACAGAATGTCTTTATTCTTATGGAGTAAGGGAGGAAATACTATGTTTCCGTACTCTAAGTGAGGACGAATAAAACTATTGAAGATTATGTGGAAAGTTCTTCCGTCAAACTGGCCAAGAATGCGCTCCAATGTTACCAGGGCAAGGTTTGCTCGAAAGGTATTTTCGTGGCAGTTAGCCTAAGACTTTAAATCGTAGAGTACCAGCACTCCTAAATCTTTTACAACTTGGGATACTTCTACACAGGAGTTGCCTAAATTGTAGCTGTAGTCTGCAACACGTCTCAGACGGACCACTTTACACTTTGAAGTGTTAAAGGTCAGTCCTTTGTCATCTGCCAAACTT